GCATACACGTTTTTAAATCATGAGATTGACAGTACCTCTATACCGGGCACCATTCTGCTTAATTGCTACAATCCTGAATGTCTTGTCCACCGTAGTACGAGCATTGAGAGCCTGAGCTAGGTCCTGGATGGAGCTCAAGCTCTGTAATGACCTAAATCCACCGATATTGTCCTCTTTGGGTCTTCCCTTTCGGGTTTCCCCTCAAGGCTTTAAAAACGCCCTTATAAATGGTGGTTTGTTCTCCTCCCTAACGAAATCGTAGTCCACCCCCCCTTCGGGGCCCAGCGAGGACGCAGGCAATCTTTCCTTCCTCCAATCGATGTGGGATTGCCCCCAAATCCACTCCCCTTTGAGGCCCATCATCTTTACTGACACACCGCCTCATGTCTACCCCCTTCAGGGAACAACGATAAGACTGACACATCGTCCGGTGTCTGGCTCTGATACCATTTGTAACGACCCAAATCTACTGCTAGCAGATACTATCCTCTTTAGGCTTTCCAACCGCGAGAAGACTGGCACATCGTCCGGTGTCTGACTCTGACACCATTTGTAACGACCCAGATCTATCACTAGCAAATATTGTCCTCTTTAGGCTTTCCCTTTCGGGTTTCCCCTCAAGGCTTTAAAACGCATCTGCTAGGGGGAGGTTTCCACACCCTTATAAATGATGGTTTGTTCTCCTCCCCAACCAATGTGGGACATCACAAGCTCGCTGTCGTCAAGGCTCCATGGCAAACTGCATGATGTACGATATGGAATTCGAGATGAACTCCGAACTCAATAGACGCATATTGGCAGATTTATACTACATAACCTATGATGCACTCAAGGCCAACAAGGGGCCATGCTCGTGCCAGACGCAGAGGCAAACCCCTACGACCGTGGCTGCAGTGCCATCACTCGTTGCCGAAGCTAACGACTCATGTTTACTTTAGCCAGAGATGAGCAGTTGTATGAAATAATCATAGAGTATAATCATCACTATATTGCCAATAAGAAATTATGCTGAAATAGCAGGTCCATGTCTAGAACATATTGTATTTTTCTGTCTCATCCTAAGCATTGACTTCAGCTTCACAAAGGCAATAGCGAAAAGACAACAAACTCATAAATAAAACATACACTCTCAACTATGTCTATGCAGAACCTTCGTCTTTCTTCGATTCATCGGCATTCGTCTTGGATGGAGGCAACGGCGAACCCTCCACGCCCATCTCAGCTTTTAGGTCGTTGATGCTCTGCTCCAATTCATTTATCCGGCTTCCCATCTCATCAAGTATTTCAAGTTAAGGAAAGCATATATACTATCAATTAGAAGAAATTAAGGCTCATACAAATTCAAACAAATTCTAACCTACAATCAAGGTGGCTAATCACTTATATAAAGGTTCTTCGATTGTACTGGACTCGAACGTCTCATTAGAAGGAATAAAGGTTCATACGAACTCAATCCAGTTCAAAATCATTACCATTATCTTCCTATTAGAATGTTCTAACTATATGTAACTTTTACAAGATCATTGTTAGCTAGAATGGAAAACGTAATACTCGGGAAATTGCACCGTTTGGACTGTATGGCCTCTTTTACCAGATAAATAACTATACAATTTATTTTGCGAAACTCAAAATGTATCCGAGCCTATCAGAAACAATTACTCGTTATAATTATAACTTAAGAAACTTCTAGCAGCATTTCAAAAGGATATTCTTTGTGATAATGGAGTCAGACATGGTTTGGAACCTTGATTGCTGCATAAAAAAGATTATGTTAGATATGAATTTCTCTGCTGGAAATTTACACGAACAGAAACTCACCATCTGTTGAAGAAGATTTTGCACCTGGAAAGAAGAAGAAGAGTTAATACCAATTTAACTATGAACTACCAAGAAACAATCAAGAGTGGCTTAGGGATTGAATGTTAAACAGAAGGAGAGGATTGATGATAAACTTTATAAAACCATTCTTACAAGAAAAGTTGGATTAGACTATCAAATGTGAAAAACACAGAGAATGAACTGAAAGAAAAGAAATGAACTCACAAAAACAGTCATATCAGCTGTGCTTTGTTTTGCATCTTCAGAGTCGTGTCCATCCTACAAGATAAAAGGAGTAAAATGTGCATTTCACACTGTCACGCAATGGTACAAACAACAACAAACCAGTCAAATAATATGAACAATATGATAGGAATACCATTAGGAATGGTAGTTAGATATTGATAATTGATTAGAGAAGTTATTGTGGTGATTTTATAAATATTTGCAAGTTTTGGACCAACTTGTGCGCACCTTTAACTAATCTCACAAGACAATGGTCTAGTCTTATTACATTTGATTTTCGAGGAAACTCGTAGAATATTAAATCTCAAGTAGGTGACTACCATTTGAATCCATTTCTTCTGAACCTTTTACATTCCATGGCCCTTATTGACCACTAGGTGCTACGAGGTTAACATTAAGGCATGTTGGGCAATTCACTAGAGAAGATGTTATAGAGAAAAAGTGCTCTAATCTCCACATTTAGGTTTCGACACATTCTTTTCACACTTAGGCATATAGCACATCATTGGTAATGATTCGACTACAGTATCACAAATTTGCAAACTAATCCTAAGTGGCTTGTCATAGCTTAGACGTTATTCCATCTCTCCTATGCCTCCATTGGTTTCCTTGAAGTTGCTTGGGAACAAAGAGCGTTAGAACATAGAAGACTGAAATCAATTTTTAAAAAATTTTGATATAGCTCTGCTCCAAAGATGGATGCAAGGAAAATAGATAGCGATCAATGGATACAAAGGGGAAGGTAGGGTAAAGATCAATGGATACAAAGGGGGAGGTAGTGTAAAGAATGGAACTAGATGGTTGCTCGTGAGAGATTCTTTTTCTTTTTATGTTATGTATCTCCGCAAGATAGGAGCGCATCATCGTGGCTTAGATTTGAGTGGCATCTCTAGAAAGGGGAGGTTCCAAGCACCTCAATAATTGGAGAGTTATCATGTAGTTTTGTTATCTTCCATATTTCGATATATTTAGGTTTAACTAGAGGGTGACAATCTTGAAAATGAATTAAGATAAAGCATTCAAACATCTTCAGTTGTGACAACTACAATAAGATTCGACTATCATAATATGGGAACAGAAGTCATTCGCACTCCTGAGATAACAACGAATAAACTAACTGTGAGCCAGCTGTCTTAGCCACTAGATAAAGAAGGCATTGAACTTAGCCAGGGCCCAAACTTCCTCAGACGTGCTATTCACATCTCCAAGTGCACCTTCCATAAGATTGCAATGAAAGCAACATTCCAAAGTGCCATCTCTCTATGTTGTAAGGAAGGGTTGTATAAGACCTTCATCATATTCGTATGCGAGCTGTTACAAAACATTAGCAAAAGACTATTCCCTCTGGTAGTAGGAAAAGATGGTATCGTCTACGGACTAAAAGTGTATGAGCTGAACTTTATTCATTCTCACATGGAAATCTTCAACGAAGTCACCGTTCACCCCTCTAAATACTAACTTACTAAGAAACCTCCACAAGGAAAAGGAACGATGACATTGAAACCCCTAGTGGCAAATGTTTTACTCGTTGCCTTCCCATTAAGTGCATCAACAAGAGACAATTGATCACATCCAACATTTCAATTTAAACCCAAAAACCTCCTTTTCACAAAACTTTCCCAAAAAATATCCAATCAGCATGATCCTAAGAGTTTGCAAAACCAATCTTAAAGATAATCCCTTCCTTCATACGAAGCCGAATAATGTTCAGTCTCCTCATAAACAATATGAGCTTCATTCCAGCACCTCAGCGAAAAAAAAAAAAAAAACTACACCATATCACATGGCATCCAGAATCAACCAAATCAGCAAGCGTAGCTTTACAAAAATCCAAGAAAGATTGAATCTTCACACATTATCTCGTGACGAAGCCTTCAATCATCGATTAAAACAATGAACCCTAGCAGAAACACGAAACCCACGAGAAACTCACCCGTAACACAACCCCATATCAACGTTCAATATCAACAACCTAAGGTGATCTAAATCGGCATTGTTCAAAAGTGATTAAAAAGCGAGCAAGGCAATTGCGGAACTAAAGCTGAACAGAATCATTCGATTTAGAACAGAAATTCTTATAAACAGAAACAAGGAAATCCTTAGAGATTTCGAATTCCTTCCAAAATTTCACATCTAACAGGGTGAAATGGATACACAACAGCAATGACATTCAACGGGGAAGAACAGTGACTGAACGGAATGAGATTTAAAAAGAAGAGACACCAACCATTTCTGCAAGAGTGGATCTTCAAGAGACAATCGGGATATGCTGAAACTCGCGGTGCCCAATCGTCCAGTTCGCGGGGGAAGAATGCGGGACGTAGAATATAGCGAATGGCTCCCTTTTTTTTGCTCAGGTGATACCCTCTTCTTCCCCCCCCCCCCCCTTTTGTACAAAATTACCATTTTGCCATTTACATTTTTTATAAAAATATATTTATTATTTTAAATTTTGTAATTTTATTCTTACCGTTAGTGGTCGAACAACGTTCTCTAACTTAAATATAAATTCTGTAATTTCATATATTTATTTAATTAATTTCCTGTCAAAAGTTCATAACTTAAATATAAATATTTTTTTATTTAATTAAATAATACGATCTAAATAGTAGAAATTTATAAAAAGTTTTCTCGAAATATTGATTTAAAATTTGAAGTCTAAAAATGTATAATTCGACACAATTTATAAAAAAATAATAATAATAATAATAATTACTTAAATATTGGTTTGGTTTTTTATTTTTCATGCCTTATTTTATTCTTTACTCTGACAGGAAAAAAAATATAACTTCTTAAGTAATTATTTATTAATTTTGTTATTTTTTTAATCATTATTAAAACAAAAAAAAAAAAACATAATTTTTTTGTGGTAAAATAGTTTATTATTTGTATTTGAACAGTAAAAAATTAAACAAGAAACTAGTCTTTGTGACCGAGAACTAAATTTATAATTTAACATTATTTTTAAAAAAAAAAAAAACATAAATAATGAATATCAAAGGGGCATTTTAGACATTAAAAGATTATCAGAGTTTTGGAGGTATGACATTCAAAACTTAGAAACTCTTCTCGGGTTTACTATAAAAAATCTGTCAAAGTTTGAAAATCTTCTCAATCAATGCCGTGTGGAGGTACAAGGCCATAAGCCATGAACTTGCTTCTCTTCTCTTCTCTTTGTCTTGACTGTTAAACACTGTCATAAGGCTTTCGGCACACAACATTGACAATCTAAATCGTTCTTTCATTTCAACACTAGAATTGATAATGGAATGAATCTACAAAATACGAGTAAACATAGTAGTTTTCAAGAGTGAGTTCAAGATGACAAGAACAGTGGAGAACGACTCAAAATAAACGAGCCTCAAATTTGATGCTCAAGAACCTGAAGTTGACCCGATCTCGTTTCGATTCAGTATTATCTAAGACCCCTCCACTCGAGGAAGAAGGAAAACTGAAAAGTATTACAAGAAAGTCAGCTGAAAATCAAACATGGAGAATACAAACTCTATGCAATTCAAACTAATGATAGTGAGACAGACTAAGAGTTGGTGTTTTTCAGTTTTGTTTTATATCAGATACTTCACTTGAACATAAGGATACTCTGCTGCTCCAGACCACAAACCCCAAAGCAAAATTAGGTGAAGACTTAGAAAGCAACATGGAGGAGTACATATTAGAAGGATATATATTCCAACAAAACCCGATCCCCCCAAACAGATGAGATCCCACATCGGTTGGGAAGGAGAACGAAGTATTCTTTATAAGAGTGTGGAAACCTCTCCCTAACAAACACATTTTAAAAACCTTGAGGGGAAGCCTGAAAGGAAAAACCTAAAAGAAAACAATATCTGCTAGCGGTGGGCTTAAATATCCATATCTATATATTGTATGTACACAAAATAATCCAGACAAGAAGGCGAAGTTTTTCAGCAAGGTACCGTAATAAAATAGGAAACAACGTTCTCCACAACAGATATGGAATAGAAAAGAAATACCTGCAGCGTAACGAAATACGACGTTAAGAGCCCATACTTCATTGCTTTTGGATCGAATGAGTTATATGACCTGATTCTATATAAACCAAATTTCAGACACTGCTGCTTGAGGATTGAATGGCGTGTGTGTGTGTTCATAAAAATATGAGATGCAGATGTAGTCGTCAACAAGTGGTTCGACATGATTCGACATTTTCCATTCAAGGTATGGAACTTCAGATAATTGAGCTTACCATGAGTAGAACTGATAATGCAATGATCAAGCACACATAACACCGATGAAATTCCCAACGAACATTGTTGTTACAACATCCGAGCTGATGAAATAGTCGGAGAACGATCAACCAGAAAAATGAGAGAGGGGGTTAGACGCCGAAGAAATATTAAACAGATCATCATATTACAAGTTAGATCGAATGTACTTTTAGTACCAACTTACCTTCGCCCTCGAGTAACTTGACCAATGGCTTGTTATTGTTAGATATCCCATTGGGAAAGTTGGCTGCAATAATGGAAGCTTATTATAACTCGGAACCTAAACAACATTGCCTGAATCCAAATAATACAAGAGCAAAGTGAAGCACCTAAAAATTTTATCAGATAATGTAGTTCCCCCACCCCTCAATCTCACCAGCAAAGGAAATGTGTAACAACTTGTTTAAGAAAACAACTTCAAACAGTTTTCTAATAGTTTTAGAGCTCAATGCATGTAGAGGTGGGAACTTCTAACAATATATGCTTCAATGAGTTAAACTATGGTTAGGATGGCTTAAAACATGATGAAATATTACCAGCCTAGATAGACATCTCCACCAGTGACACATTGTATGGCAAAATAAATGTACAAAAACTGTTACATCCCACGTCAGTTGGAGAAGAGAAAGAAACATTGCTTATAAGGGTCTGGAAACCTCTCCCTACCAAACGCGTTTGAAAAACCTCGAGAGAAAGCTCGACAGGGAAAGTCCAAAGAGGACAATATCTTTTAGCGGTAGGGTTGAGCCGTTACAGATGGTATCAGAGCCAGACACCGAGCAATGGGCCAACGAAGATGTTGGGCCCCCGAGGGAGTGGATTGTGAGTGTTAGACGAACACGACTCTCCACAATGGTATGATATTGTCCACTTTGAGCATAAGCTCTCATGGCTTTGCTTTGGGCTTCCCAAAAGGCCTCATACTAATGGAGAGTGTATTCTTAGATTATAAACCCATGACCATTCCCTAAATTAGCCGATGTGGGAAAGTGGGACTTTCATCATCCAACAGTGAGATCCCACATTAGTTGGAGAGGAGAAAGAAGCATTGCTTATAAAGGCGTGGAAACCTCTCCTTACCAGATGCATTTTAAAAACTTTGAGAGGAAGTCCAAAAGGGGGAAAGCACAAAAAGGACAATATTTGCTAGCAGTGGGCTTGGGTTATTACAAAAACCGAGCCGGATAAACTAGAGTTCCAGTGTCTCCTTGCAATTTGCTGTAATCCCTCTCCCCTCCCAAAAATCCACTTACCTGCTTGAAAATAATACCAATATGTAGAAAGAGAAAGAGGTGTTTAATGTTATAATTCTTGAACATTGAAACCAACAGTACGAGATGAATCAAACATCCATTGAAACCAATAGTAGAAGATCAAACAAACAATCATTAGTCCAAAAAAATGCTTTACTCAAAAATCTAATTTCTAAGCAAATTATTATTATGATTCTTGGACACTCTAATCTTAATCGTTAATTTTATCAAATTTTTTCCTGTTTGATGTTATAGTTCGTAGAGAGCTAAGGCCAATCTTGAAACCAAGGACAAAATCAAACAAATGACCATGAGTCTCCAAAGAAATGCTTTACTTGAGATCAAAATGCTAAGCAAGTTCATGTTGTAATTCGTATAAACTCTAGTCTTAATCAGTAATTCTATCATTTTTGCTTCTTTATCTGAGGATTGGAGTCACGGCGGATATAATTTAGCAGCCAAAATCAAAATATCTACCACTAATGATACTTACATGTAAGCGTCCCAATCAATTTTATCATTTAGAGGCAAACAAGCAATGGCGTCAAAAGAACATATCGATAATTCATTGTAAAGAAAAGATACGAATAAGAACTCGATCTTACAGGATACATATGCAATGATAATGGCGATGATAATGGCGACGAGGATGTCATCAGCCAAGACCAAAAAGAAAGCAAGTGCTAGCTTTGTATTTCGACCGCTGATTTTATCGAGGTTTTGACGATTTTGCAGGCGTTAAGCAAGCTGCAGTCCGATCCCGTTCACGTAAGGACCATTTCAAATATTTTGAGCCCTAAATTTTTATAAAATGAGTTAAAATTATAAAAGGGTTGATAGATGTTTTTGTTTAATATATAAATTTTAAAATATATATTTAATTGCATAGATTTTATAGTATAGTTTTTTTTAGTACGAGAGATTTATAACTCTAATTCAATAATAAAAATCTAAAAAAAAAATGTAGCTTAGATTATCTTTTGATCTAGGTTCGTGTCGCCATCCATCAACCTAATAATATAATTTTATGGCATGTGTTGTATAATATATTAATCTTCTAATCTTATCGACCTAATAATATAATTCTGTGACATGTGTTTTTGTAATATATTAATAAAATTTAATAAACTATTAATAAAATAAAAATGTAAAGTTATTAGTTAATAATAGTTTAAAATATTTAGATAACACATCTCGTAAGTAGAGAACTCACAGCCCCCTTTACTGTCCCGTCCACTTATTGTGTCAAGGTGACCTGTATTGGTTGGGGTTACATGTTAGGTCCAACATCTATGTCTATGACCTTTTAATGAGTTACTGGTGTTGCACCTGACATGATATGACATTGTGCTTGGAGCTAGTGCTAGATAGCTTGAGACGGTAGTATGCTTGGTGAAGATGGTGGTGTTGGTCGGATGCAATCGTTGTTCTGGACAGTGAATCCGACAGCGGCGGACTTGATTAAGGAGGGTTTAGTTAGTATGTTTTTCTATTTTTATTTGATCTCGATCAAAAGAAAAATAAAATTAATGTTTGTTTTATTTGTTTTTTTGTTTTTATATTTATTTTTGCATAAATTTAAATGGTTGGTTGTTTATATTCAATGATATATGGTTGATTGTCTATATTAAATAATATAAAATTTAATTTTTAAATTAAAAACTATTTTAAGTCTAATCTAAAGTAATATATTTTAATAAGAACGTTCTGATAACATTTTTCAATTTTAGAATAATATTTATATATATATATATTTTTAAATTTATCATAAAATAATTTAATTTTTAAAATATATACTCAATATATAATATACTTTAATTATTTGAATGTACCAAAAAACAAAAACTTGTAAACAAAGAAAACAATAATATTGTAAACGATAACTCATTTGAAAAATTAAGATCACACGTATTATTTATAAATTTAAATTTAAGATTAAAAATCAAATATTTATTAAATAGACGTCGACACTTGCTTTGTATTCTTAATCGTCTAAACTCACATGATGCAAGATATATATCTTGTTAAAAAATGCATATTTTGAGAAATATAATTCATACGTTATTTTGACTTTGAAAAATAAGAAAAAAAAAAAAAAAAACAATCCGTTTGGATATTAATGGATATAAATTAATATCTAACTTTTTTTTAACCAATTTTTTTAATGCATGAAGCCAAATGTAGGAGGGGAGTTTATATTTATTTAATATAAAAGAAAAATAATCAAAATTATATTTATTTAATAAAAAATGAAAATTTATAAATTAGTCACATAATTTTTTGAAAAAAAGACACGTGGATTACATGAAGGGATATGCAGAGTATATTTGATAAGAAACTCAAATACTACTACAGAAAAAAATCATTAATTATAAATTATAATTTATTTATTTCTTGTTATTTAAAATTTAAAGATTCTAAAATAAAAATTACAAATATATTAATTTTTTTAAATATCATTAATATTCCTTTGAAATCAGATTTCCATTTAAATTCAGTAGACGATTTTATTTTTTACCTGGTAAAATAATTAAAATAAATATTTATATGAATTAAAATTTATAACTATGGCTTATTTGTTCACGGGTGTAAATTTGACCGTATAATATATTTATAATTTAAATAATTATAATAATTTGTTACTCAGACATAATTATTTAGTTTAAAAAACCATAAATACAAATAAATATAAATAATTTTATGATAATTTTGCTCCATTTAAATTATAAACGATACCCTCTACATACATTCATAATTTCAATTTTTTCTATAATAAATAATTTTCTTTCGGGAGAGAATTAAAAAAATTTGGAAAAATCGAGACGCTTATTAACTGATCTCTCCTCATCATTTTCTCTTCCCCTTCCCCTCCCCTCTGCCCGGTCTCTCTATTTGGTCTTCGGGCGCCTTTTCTCCTGCAATTTTCCCTTTTTTTTTCCTTCTTTTCATCGATGCCCAGAACTTGATTTTTGAATCAAGGAGGAAGAAAAAGGAAGAAAAGGAAGAGGGATCAATTTATAGACCCATCTGATTGTTCGTGTCTGCTCTGTGTTGCGTTTTGTTACCATGGTTGAAACCAGGCGTAGTTCTTTCTCCAAACGCTCTCTTTCTTCATCTCATGGTTCTCCTCCTCCTTCGGGCGCCCCCAATTCCAAAAGATCTAAGGTACTTTCGTCTGATTTCTCGCGGTTTTTGGGTTTTGCATGTCAGTGATTTGTGGTTCTTTCTCGATTTTTTGTTGATGGATTTTTGGGTGGGATTTAGGTGTGGGGTTTGGTTTTTGTGGGTTTTTGATCTTTGGTTGAATTTATGATAGGTTATTGAGGCATCGTCGTCTACGGAGGACGTTCAGAGCGCGCCGCCTGTTGAGCCGTTGATCCCAGTTGGGGAATCTGGGGTTGAATCGGTTGACCCAGTTATACAACCAGCTGATCCATTCGATACTGATTCTTTGAAGGTCAACAACGCAGGCGATGAGGCTGTTCCCGAGAATTCCCATGACCTTCAGACAGAAGGCGAGGCTATTATTGCGCCGCAACATTTAGGTAAACCTTCCCAATTGGTGTTATATGCATGCAGTTTGATTTCTTGGAACTGGGTGTTTAATGTTAAATCTATTGGGGTTGTTGGGTTTGAATTGGGTTTTGATTAGATTCTTCAATTCGTGTGTCGTGTGGGATGTAGGTGATGTTGCAGCCGATGCGGAGAAATCGAAGGTGGTTGTGGCTGCCATGCTCAATCGCTCGAAGAAGCGAACGATGAGGTTGGCGAAGTCGAATTCAAAGCCTGCGTGGGGAAAACTTCTTTCGCAGTGCTCACAGGTACATTCCTGCTCAAGAATTGTTTGTTCTTAATTTATTATCCTTTATTTTTTTGGTTCGTTGAGGTTGATCGAGACTTTTCATATGAACTGTTAGTTTTGGTTTGTTTAAAAGAACAGAGCAGGGATGAATTTGATTACCCATGTGACAAGAATGTGTAATACTTGTATGGAAAGAAGGGCTGAATGCTCGTTCGGTATCATGTTTTTATATGCAATCATTCTTACCTAGCATGATTTTTCATCTCTCCATAAAGCTCTAAAATCATCCTTTTTTGGAGAAAGAACAAAGGAAGATGAATTTCAGATACTCTTCTTCCAGCCGCTAAAAGAGTTGATGAAAGTTATCTTGAAAATGGGCATCAAGAAAGCCTATGAAAAAATTGGTAGGGCTAATCTAGATGTGATCTTGAACTTAAAGGCTGTTGAACGATGTGGATAAAGTGGGGTTTCAAATGCCCATCTACTTCTAATTTCTTTTGATTACTAGGAACCTCACCGTATTTTGGCTCATGAGGACTAAGGCAAGGGGCAACTAGCTGAAAAAGAATCATGTTTTCCTCACTACATTGAGTTGGTGGTTCACTCAGGAGGAAAAGGACCCTCGATAGGATCGTAATCAAAAATTGAGAAGCACAAAATGCCCCATCAACATTGATTTCTTAAGTCCAACCTTTCAAAGGACACTTCAATTCATGGAAAGAAATTATGAAGACAGGAATTGAACATCTTTGTTCAATATGGGAAACTATTTTTTGAACATCTTTGTCAGTCTTTTCCACGTTGTAAAGATCTTTCACCTTACACGTTGTAAAGATCTTTCACCTTACACTGTGTTTACACTGAAGCAAAGTGTTATTGGAGTGAAAGGGATTGACCAAGCATAGATTCTTCATATACTCAAAAAAAAAAAAAAATTGTTAAAAGGATTTTAAACAAGCTCTACTTGAGTTTGTTTTAACTGTTACTACTGGTCTTGTTGCATTCTCGTGTAAAAAGACGAAAAGTTTCTCTTCCCTCCTACTTGAATTCTCTTTCCCTCTCTTATAGCAAAGGAGCGGAAAGAAAGAAACATAAAGGTGTAGTCATCAAACTTTAATTGGAAAAAAGGCCTTTGATAAAGTCGATTGGACTTCCCTAGAAAACGTTCTTGTAGCAAAAGGCTTTGACTCAAAATGGTGGGGTGGGTAAAAAGGATGCATTTCATCCACAAAATTCTCCATCATCATCAATGGAATACCTATAGGAAAGATCTATGCCACATGGGATCTTTGACAAGGGGATCCACTATCCCTTTTTTTCATAATGGTAATGGATTGCCTTAGTAGGCCAATTACGAAGGAAAGATAAAGGGCTTTTAGGTTGGTAAAATGGTAATGAATCAACCACCTTCAGTTTGCAGATGACATGCTCCGCTTGTCTAATTTGCTAAATGTATCTTTCATAAAAATCATGATCGAGATAGTAAAATTCTTCGAAAGATTCTCTGGACAAAATATCAATCTCTAAATGACAGATATTATTAGCAAAAGGATGATCGAAGACTTTGTCTGCAGATACAATTGTAAAAAGGGTGAATGGACAAATATGTACCTAGGATAACCCTTAAAGGGAAACCATGAATCATTTTCCATTTGGAAGACTATTATTGAAAAAATAGAAAGAAGGTTGTCAACATGGTCATCATGTTATACTTCCAAGGGCTGAAGACTCGCCCTAATCCAATCCACATGGTCCAACGTCTCCACTTGCTACATGTTTCTATTGAAAATGCCACAAAAAGTGGCTATAGATATAGAAAGATTATTAAGAAACTATTTGTAGAAAAATGAGTCACGCCTTGTTCGATGGAATATCGTAAACCTCCTAGCAGACAAGGGAGGGCTTGGCCTATTTTCGATAAATGAGAAAAACAAAACTCTCCTCGCAAAATGGATAAGGAGATATCATTACAAAGAAAACACCTTGGGGAGAAAACTTGTAAAGGCTAAATATACTTCTATGTCATGTACAGACGACCCCCTCTGTCTTCTGCAAAGGTGCCATGGAAATACATTAAAAGAAAAAAAAAATACCAAAACCTCATCACCAACCAAATTTGCCATTGGGTGGGTGATGGAGGAATCACATCATTCTGGACTGCCCCTTGGACTGGGAACACCACGCTAGCTTGTGATATCCACTTTTGTACACTCTCTCATAATAAAAGAGCCGCAATCAAAGAAACATGAAATGATGTCAACAATTTCTTGGACCTGAAGCTTGGTAGGAACCTAAAGGATAATAAAAGCTACATAATGGGATGAATTAAGCGTCAATCTTGCCCCAATTGTATTGTCGGTTAGCTTACTCATTAACATGGCTTCCCAGCGCTGATGGGGCCTTCTCTACAAAATATTTGACGATGGACATAGGGAAAAAAGTAGAAGCAATAATCTCATGCTAGCAAAGACAATATGGAGAGGAAATCACCCTAAAGAGGTGAAGTTTTTCTTTTGGGAAATAGCGCATAAAGCTATTAGCACGTGAAAGTCTTCAAAGAGAATGCCCAGTGTCACGGTCCTATTTTTTTGACCGCGCAGTGTCGTGATCTTGACACACTCACGACCAGCCTTAAGGGAATTTAGCCCCATATATATTTTTCGCCTCGGCTTTGTGGCTTCGTCGGACCTTAGGCGAGGTTTGTCTTCGCCACTCGAACATCGCTTGTTGAATCCAAGCTTGTCCGACCACACACGCCGCTTGCGCATTCATGTTCAATCGTCTACGACACAATCAACTTGCCTCTATACTAGGCCATGTCATTCGACTCGACCTTGCCTCTGCTTGGGGTTAAGGTCTCTCAATGCACCATCACGTCTCATCTTGTCATCTCGATCTCCATCGACATGACCCATATGTCTTGATGCCATCTTGAGTCTCGGGGTGTCGTCTGCCACCACAACTCGCTCGGTCATGCCATCGAGAATGGGCCCGTGTGTCGCTCATCTCATCTAAACTTCCCGAACATCTATCCATTCGGGTTCTATCGAGGCATTGGCCCTCCCGTGCCCGTGCCATGTCATTTATGGATATCGTGCTGGATAGCGGGTGTATGTAGTAATTGCTGATAGGCTTAGAGCTCCTACGTTCACAAGGGTTCTCCAACACGCGGGTTGGGGCGCAATACCGGCACACTCGTGCCACCCGATACTGTCCTTGAAAAACCCATTTCAAAGGAAGTCGTCCGAGACACTCGCTTCGGCACGCTCGCCCACGCTGTGACACATGTATGTGCCATAGGGTAGCTTGCTTAGGCCACATGGCCCAGAGGTGGTGGAGAGCTGACACAATGGTACCCCTATAGTACATTTTGAGCCATTTTTAATCTTTCCGGCATAGACATTATTTTTTATGAATGGTCATACAGTGTCGTGCAGCATTCGTCCGGTGTCCAATTGACACCAAACTTGGCGAGCATTCATATTTCATATGGACGGACTTAACTCCAAAATCGCATGCCTGAATTCCTTCCGAAACCTCGACTATCAACGTTAAGGCCCGGGACCCTACCCGACCCTTCAACAAGCCTATCTTTGCCCCTCTTGTCTATTCGATGTCTCTATCTTGCTTATGTCTCAACTTGTCTTCAATGCCCACTTCGTGTGGTGTGTTAGATGATGCACTGTCCTCCTCGATCACATCATGACACTCGTCTAGGCCCTCGTGTGGACGGATGGGCGCCACTTGAGGGTCGCCGCTTCTCTCGTCGCTACGTGAGGGTTACAACCTACTCTCTTCATAGTTAGGGTGTCATAGGTTGTGACACCCTGCATGGCTCTATTTCCAAATTGGTGTCCGTTATGCAAGAAAGAGAACAAATCACAAAAACCGCTTATTTATGCAGTGCACATACGCACAAAATTTTTGGATAAAGATTCTCAATACCTTTGAATGAACATCTCACTTTTCCTAGGGGGTTAAAGGATTTATTGGACATGACCTTAATGTACCACCTCCAAAAACCCTACTATGGGAAAACTTTGTCATGGCTTTCGTTTGAAATCTGTCTAATGTCTTTGCTTCCTTGAGTCATGCCCCCTCTTTGTAAATTGGGAAGGTCATTGGGAAGGTCATTTGGGAAGGTCATTTGTGAACATCTTGGATAATACATCCCTTATTTAAAAGGTTATTTTCTTTTCAAAAAAACTCATTCGTGAAACACACTAACCAACCTGAAAAACTTATTTTCAACACTTTCCACTCCAAAACTCGAACTAGTTCCATTTTCACAAGGTTTATGGAGCTATATGACTAGCATGCCCTTGGATGGGTACAAAAGAGCGTAGACCCCTCTTGTGAGTGCTTTTTTTACTAACAGAAATGGTGTGGTTTTAGATTGGTAATGATTGTACAGAGGGAGCTGATTGACGAATAAAGAATTTGTGATTTTGACCCCCTTTTTTTTTGGTGAGGAAGGTTATTTATTTATTTATTTATTTTGTTAGGTTATTTACTACCTAGGATGGTCACTAATGTAAATTATCATTTTGCTCTCAAGTTAACCATAAAGTAACGTCCAAATCTGCATCTCCGGTCTAGTTACGTCGCCTTTTTCTGTTTAGTAACTTTAAACGTTGATATTAATTACTGTCACCTGACTTTCTGGATTTATTATGCTTCTGCAGAATCCACACTTGGTTATTTGTGGTACTCTGTTCACCGTTGGTCAAAGTCGTCAGTGTAATTTATGGCTTAAAGATCCATCTGTCAGTACAACATTGTGTAAGCTGAGGCACATCAAGGTTAGTAATTAGTTCTTTTCCCCTGGAGATATTGCTACTCAAAATCGGAGTTTATGCTTTCGTTGTATGTTTTTTTTTAATACTTCTCTTTCTGTCACTTGTATTGCGACAGCGCGGGAACTCTTCTGCTTTGCTGGAAATCACGGGAGGCAAAGGTGCTGTCATTGTTAATGGCAAGATTTTTCAAAAAAACTCTAGTGTAATTTTAAATGGAGGTGATGAGGTTGTCTTCACTTCCTCTGGAAAACACGCTTACGTATCCTTTCGCAATGTTGCAATTTAACATTGGTTTACCTTGCATGCAACAATGCGTATCTATGATGATTTACTTAATTTGTTAACCATCAGATATATCAGCAGCTCACTAGTGATGATTTTACTGTTTCTGGTCTGCCTTCTGTAAACATTTTAGAAGCTCATAGTGCTCCTGTTAAGGGGATTCATTTTGAAGGAAGGTCTGGGGATGCCTCAGCTGTAACTGGCGCATCCATATTAGCATCGTTTTCGAATATTCAGAAAGATTTGTCTCTGCTTTCCCCACCTGCTAAATCCAATGAGGATGTGGATTTACCCACTGGTTGTGGAGTGTCAGATGATCAGAATCCAGACATTAATATGAAAGATGTCAGTACTAATAATAGTGATCTAAATGGTGATGCATCTATGGACAAAAATATCGACCCAACTCCTAATTCTGCAGCTGAAAGCCCCAGTATTGATAGGCTCGGACTCGATGCTTGTATCGATACAGAAATGGGGGAAGTCCCTGGAGCAACTCATGAATTACGGCCACTTTTACAAATTTTAGCTAGTTCGGCATCTCCCGACTTCAATTTAAGTGGCAGCATTTCAAAGATCCTTGATGAACAAAGGGATATAGGGAGTCTCTTTAAGGATTTTAACCCCCCTCCTGCTATGCCGATGTCAACTCGACGTCAAGCATTCAAAGAAAGATTACAACAAGGCATTCTTAAACCTGACAGTATTCATGTTTCTTTTGAGAATTTCCCATATTATTTAAGGTGAGTGTGATTCTCATATTGTCTATGTTTATTAATTGTTTATTTTGTCCATTATGCACCTAGCAATTTTTCGTGGTATATGTAAATCATAGCTTGCTTCTCGCTATTAACATTTTGGAGTCTCTTGTAACTACTGTGATTTATGGAAATGCTTTTGATGACGTACATGTAGCATATTGAAAAAATAAACGATCCAGAACTCCATTAAATTTTGCGTTGATGTATAGACCAACCGGGATGTGTTCTAAATCTTTTGCGACTCTGCCTCCTTTTTCAGTGATACAACAAAAAATGTTCTGATTGCGTCCATGTTCATTCACATGAAGTGTAATAAATTTGTGAAGCATGCGTCGGACCTTCCTATTTTGAGCCCACGTATACTGTTGTCTGGACCTGCAGGTCGGCACTGACCCCTTTTCTCCCGTTAACTACGGATATATTTTCTTTACATCTGATTTGTTCAATTGACATGGATTGTTTATTACTACAGGTTCGGAAATATACCAGGAAACTTTGGCAAAGGCACTTGCTTGGCATTTTGGAGCTAGATTACTAATTGTGGATTCTCTTCTTTTGCCTGGAGTATGATGCTTTACCTTTACTATTAACTTTCTTGAAAGTTCGTTCATCTGTTCTTTTATGAATTTGGTCAACTCGTAAAGTCTCTTCCGGTGTGAAAGAGGCGGGATTAAATTTTGTGTAATCTTGTGAATTAGGGAAATAATATTTTTGATTCTCAAGCTTTAAATACTTCCGACATGCAAATCCGAGGCTTGCCGTGCCTCTATAAGATTAAGTCAATAAAGGTTGTTATGTATACAGGGACAAACATCCAAGGATGCCGATATTGTAAAAGATAGTTTGAGGCCTGAAAGGGCATCTGTTTTTGCAAAAAGAGCTGTGCAGGCAGCGGCTGCTGCAGCTGCTGCTGCTTCGCAGAACAAGAAACCAACTTCCAGTGTTGAGGCTGATATTGCAGGTGGATCTACCTTAAGCTCGCAGGCGTTGCCAAAACAGGAAGCATCCACGGCTTCATCGAAGACCACCGCTTTTAAGACAGGTATCTGATTTTTAGACACTATTGAGACTCGTGGTTGGTGTGGCAACTGGTCCATCCCCAGTCTCCCACATGTCGTGCATAATCTTATTAACCTCTTATTAATTTATAGGCGACAAAGTTAAATTTGTGGGTACGTTATCTTCTGCGCTTTCACCTCCTCTTCAAAGTTGTCCTCTCAGGTAATATTCCTCCACCCGCTGGCACTGTATTTTCGTGTCTGATGATCTGAACATTCTGGATAATTGTTTTGTGGTAGCTTCGGTTCTGTTTAATTATTGTTAAGAGTTCAGTATTTGTAAATTTCTACTCCCTCTTCAGGTTCATTTTCTTGTCCGCCATTATTTGTTCATACGTAGAAAATGTTCGATAAAAATCATCTGCTCTTTGTCTATCAGTTATGCTGTTTCTTCTTATCTCTTACATGTATAATGTTTTACGTAAAAACTTTTTGCCGTTTAAAATCTATTTGTAACTATTTCTCATTTCCCTTTGGAGCAGGGGTCCGTCTTATGGTTGTCGGGGGAAAGTTGTCCTTGCTTTTGAAGAGAATGGATCCTCAAAAATAGGGGTGAGATTTGACAAACCGATTCCAGATGGTAACGATCTCGGTGGCCTTTGTGAAGAAGATCATGGCTTCTTTTGTTCTGGTTATTCTTCTCTTCTTGTTTTCCCCGTTTTGGGTTCCGTTTCTAATATTTTATTTTTATTTTTCCTAGAACTCTGCTTGTGTTATGATCGTTCTAAATTGACATTACAGCTAATCATCTACTTCGCTTGGATGGTCCTGGAGGCGACGATACCGATAAGCTTGCTATTGATGAAGTTTTTGAGGTACTTCCTACCCTAAACTGCTATGGATCTATGTTTCCTTTTCTATTGGTACTCACTACGGTATTCAACATGCAGGTTGTCTCAAACGAGAGCAAAAACAGCCCGCTAATATTGTTCGTCAAAGACATAGAAAAGGCAATGGTGGGACACTCGGATGCTTACTCTATTCTTAAGGGCAGGCTTGAAAATTTGCTAGGAAATGTTGTTGTCATTGGCTCCCACACACATATGGATAGTCGAAAAGAAAAGGTGAGCAGAGCCGTTTTCCTCCCCCCTTTATTCCTTTAGGAGTATGTTTGGGACGTTCTAATTCCTTTTTCGACTCGTCCGTACATTTTCAGTCCCATCCTGGTGGTCTGCTATTTACCAAGTTTGGAAGCAACCAAACAGCTTTGCTCGATCTTGCGTTCCCGGTATGCTAAGTCTTCTCTTCTATATGTTTGTTTAGCTATACATGCAGTATTAACTTGACCGTCCTTTTTTTTTTATTGAACGTCTTGTAGTATTTATTTTCCTCCTACGAATTCAATAGTATATATATCACGTTTCTGTATTCAGGATAATTTTGGCAGATTGCACGATAGGAACAAGGAAACTCCAAAAGCGACAAAGCAACTTAGTCGACTCTTCCCGAACAAAGTGACCGTATTACTTCCTCAGGTATCGAGATCTTATAACTGATTCTGTTGTCTCACTGCTTCTGTCTATCAAACGCAGCACGACTTTTTCTTGAATGTTGTTAGGATGAGGCCTTACTTTCGGAGTGGAAGAAACAATTGGAACGTGATACCGAAACTCTGAAAACACAGGCAAATATAGTCAGTATCTGCTTGGTGAGTGCTTTTAACATATTGTATCGCCCTTGTTTTATTATGATTATTTAAATATTCAACGAGAAACCGTGAACATTGCAAATTAACAAAATCGACATCTCAACCATGGGGAGCCACTGAAAAGGGAATCGAATCCGAAAGAATTAAACCAAGCGAGTAATTACAAAAATAACGTTTTCCTTTTCATTATACTGTTGTTTCAGGTTCTCGGTCGAATTGGTTTGGATTGCCCGAACCTTGACACTCTCTGCATTAAAGATCAAGCACTAACACTCGAAAGTTCGTATTCTTCGAAAAATTTTGTAATTGTTTTTTTTATGGTTACTGGGTTCTACTTAAAAGTTAAAAACTGATCTTGAATCTTGTATTTCTCTTACCAGCCGTTGAGAAAGTCGTCGGCTGGGCTTTGAGTCATCATTTCATGCATTGTTCTGAAGTGTTGGTTAAGGATGCTAAACTCATCATTTCTACAGAAAGGTTGTCTACTTTTTTCTTGGCCTCACCTACAGAAAGGAAGCTATACATCGTTTTATCGTGTTCATAGTGGTTTCGTGTGTTTAATACTGCAGCATCGAGTACGGATTGAACATTTTACATGGTCTCCAAAGTGAGAACAAGAGCTTGAAGAAATCGCTCAAGGTAATCTCGTAGAACGATGTGTCGTCTAATGAACAATAAATATTGCGTTCCTTTTCCTTTGGGTACGAGTTCGTAAATCTAAATTGGAGCGTGCTTGGACAATTTTAGGATGTGGTTACTGAGAACGAATTTGAAAAGAAACTTCTTGCCGATGTTATTCCACCTGGTGATATTGGTGTTACGTTCGAAGACATTGGTGCTTTAGAAAACGTGAAGGACACGTTGAAGGAATTGGTGATGCTCCCGCTACAGAGGCCGGAGTTATTTTGTAAGGGGCAGTTAGCAAAGGTGCACGCCTTTTCCTTCCGTCGATCCAATTTATACCTACCATCGAGCCAATTTATCAGTAAATCAGGGTTTATTACTAACTAGTTAGCATAACATAGTAGTTTTGATCATAGAAGAAGTTGCTCGGAATCCAGTCAAAAGATATCTTTGTTTCTTTGCTTCATTGTACTGCTTGTTTACGAGCGGTTGTTACTCTTCGACAGCCGTGCAAGGGAATTTTACTTTTTGGTCCACCTGGTACTGGAAAAACGATGCTTGCTAAAGCTGTTGCAACTGAGGCTGGTGCAAACTTTATCAACATTTCCATGTCAAGCATTACTTCTAAGGTACAAATTTGGCTTTTTTTAAAGGTAAAAGGAATAATCTCTAATATTGTGTACTATCTTTGTGTTTTTTACAGTGGTTTGGTGAGGGTGAAAAATACGTAAAGGCGGTGTTTTCTCTAGCAAGTAAAATCGCTCCGAGCGTTGTGTTTGTTGACGAGGTTGGTAACTTCATAGGAGTTTCCTTATCGCTATTGTTAACATTCGGTTATAGTTAGTTATAATTCTCCTAAAATACGAATATTGCTGCTACTGTAGGTTGATAGCATGTTAGGACGACGCGAAAATCCGGGCGAACATGAGGCTATGCGCAAAATGAAAAATGAATTTATGGTTAATTGGGATGGGTTGCGAACAAAGGATAGAGAACGTGTACTCGTTCTTGCTGCAACCAATAGGCCGTTTGATCTCGATGAGGCTGTGATTAGGAGGCTTCCTCGGAGGTGGTATCGCATTTGTGTAATGCTGCTGCTATACTCGTGTCATCGATCTTTCTGATCTTGAATATGTGATTGTTCTGTGTAGATTGATGGTTAACTTGCCGGTTGCCTCGAATAGAGAAAAGATTTTGCGAGTCATACTCGCCAAGGAAGAGTTGGCTGCTGATGTCGATTTAGAGGCCATTGCTAATATGACTGATGGATATTCTGGAAGCGATTTGAAGGTTTTCTTTCGTGTTTTAAGTTTTTTTCAAGTTTCCACCGCCTCGTCGATCCTACCGTGTTTATATCTCTCTAATTATTTGGTTGCAGAATCTTTGTGTAACAGCGGCTCACTGTCCCATTAGAGAAATTTTGGACAAGGAAAAGAAGGTTAGTGATTACTCCGTTTTCCTAAAATGTGTATCTCGGTACTTTTCACAATTGTTTCGTTGTGAACGGTTGCGTTTGAGCATCTTCTTTTAGTTTCGAGTATTTTCGTTCTAGTTTAAGAAAACTGTGTATCGAGGGGTACGACTCTGTAATGGCTCCTTATCATAGTGGAAAAAAGGGTCATTCGAAGAAGTAAATATGGAGTCGGCACCTCGTTTAATCGTGTGTTGTCTAAAATTGCTGTACGATCTCGAGTTTTTACTGTTTTCGATTAACAGTAGCCGAAGCATTCTTATGTCTTCTTTTGACGGGTTAGGCCGCTGAAACTGTTGGACATATGCTATGTTTGAGGATATTAATGGGTTGTCTTCATAAATTACAGGAGAGAATCACTGCTTTGACCGAGGACAAACCCGTACCGGCACTATATAGCAGTACCGACGTTCGCCCTTTAAAAATGGAGGACTTTAGATTTGCACATGAGCAGGTTGGTTTGCTTTCTCCCATTATTGCTGGGTGTGGTAGGCTCGCTTCAATGCCTTGTGGGTTCGACCCGAGCCGAGCCCACCTTACATGTTTTTTTATGAGGTTAGGTTAGGTTTGGTCCATCATCATCTAGTTAAGGTTCAACAGTTGAGACACAAGGGGTCTTTGATGAAATATTGTAGTCTTCTTCGTTGCATGACCGTAGTGACCGTGTTTATTCCCAGGTGTGTGCGAGCGTCTCGTCGGAGTCTACAAACATGAACGAGCTCCTCCAATGGAACGACCTGTATGGAGAAGGCGGGTCGAGGAAGAAGACGTCTTTGAGTTACTTCATGTAGAGGTGAGGTGAGGTGAGGTGATTGTATCTTTGTTGTATAGAGTTTCCATTTCATTTCTTTGATTTCCGAGTTCGTCTCCGTCTCGATCTCCGTCTCCGCCCCTCGAAAAGAGCGCAAGATCGGGGATCGATCAGGCATGGAAATCCATCGCCCCCACCCTCCATTCCCCTATTGTATCATATATAGTTCTTTTTCTTACCCTTCATTTATTTATTTCTCTATGCTTTTGTAGGAATTTTACAATTTTCTTTAGCTAATTTGACCAAAAAAGCCTCTCTGCCTCAATCTTTTTCTCTACCTCTTCATTATTGGTATTTGGTATCGTAATACGACATTTGCAACGATCCAAGCTCAAAGCTAGCATATATTATTTTCTTTGGGTTTTCTCTTACGGGCTTTTCTTTAATGCTTTAATATGCGTTTGCTAGGAAAAGTTTTCTACACCTTTATAAATGGTGCTTCGTTCTCCTCTCCACCAATGTGGGATATCACAATCCATCCTTTATGGTCTCCTTGTTGGCTCTCCAATTGATGTGGGACTCATCGTTGGCACATCGTTCGGTGTCAGGCTCCACGATGTCAGGCTTTGGTTACCATTTGTAATGATCCAAGTAAACTCCAGTAGATAAATTTGCTCTTAGGCGGTATAATTTAATTATAAAAAAATATTATGAATGAGAATTAATTCCAAACTAAGAATAATTTTACGTTATTAATTTTTTATTGCAAAAATTATGAGCCACTTTAGATAAGATAATTGATTATATTAATAAATGGGAATATAAAGAATTTTAAAAGGGCATTTATTCTTACAATAAATAATGGATTACTCTATATTCTAGACAATTTTTAATTCTAAACTTCCTTTTAAAAATCCTACTCATATACATACACACACGTATATCTATATATTTTTGTTCGGGTTGGAGTTATCTTGACCAAAAATATTTTTAACTCCCGAGCAAAAGGAGGATTTTATCCAAGGAGGGGCAATAGTTTATCATTGCGATGGTAAGTAGATGGTTCGAGAGGATGATCAATTACACTATGATTGAGAGTCTAGGTTACACAAGGATTGAGACACGACTGGGTGAAAGCCAGACAGAGCAATGCTGCATTGAGGCAAAAGACTACGGGTTATCGAGTCATTAACGATTTTAAATTGTCAGTGTTATTCAGTTATTTGAATATCCTTCTCATTCATTATTATTATTATTATTATTTTTTTTTTGCACATTTTAATATTAATAAAGTGGATTATTTTAGTGAATTAAATTAATAATAAATAAACATAAGAGACAAATTGGCTCATTATATGACGCATTTAATAATATTGACAATAGGAGGGGTATCTCCGGTAATTAGCTATGAAGTCGCACGTGCGAATTACACAAAGCGGGAAAGAGAAAAACTGTTATATAAAAGCCCAGCTGTATTTCATCGAAGCGCGATTTGCTTTGAATATTCACTCTGTTTCTGGAAATTTTTCTCCTTTGACCAACGAAATTGATTACAGTCGATTTCTCTAATTGAATCAAATCTTCGTTCGGAGAACCTTTCAATCGCGCTCATTTTCGCCATGGGCGTCTTCTTCCACTCCTCAGATTTTCTCCTCCCTTCTTCTACTTCTTCTCCGGCCGGCCACCCACCTTCTTCGACCTACGCCCTTGTTCTGCTCAACCAACGCCTCCCCAAATTCACTCCTCTGCTCTGGAAGCACGGTTACTCTTCGAATCCCTTTTGGCTTCATCTTTTGGTTCTAGGTTTTGATGATTTTTGCGTTTCGTGTTGATGCGTTCTTATGTGGGTTGTTGTAGAGCAGCAAAACTTCGTCTCTGTGCTGATGGAGGCGCCAATCGCGTATTTGATGAATTGCCTCTGCTGTTTCCTCATCAAGACGCTACGGATATTCGAAATAGGTTCGTTTCGTTGTCATTTTATTCTTTTTCTTCTCGTTTTTAGTGTGCATTATGCCATTATCAGTGTTTTTTTTTCTTTTCTTGTTGTGATTTAGCTTCTCTATTTAGTAATGGAGTTTCGTGCATAGGGGTTTTGTTGTTTTCTGGAAATTTAGATGGTTAATGCGTCAAAACATAAATCTTCTCCTTGGATGTTAATTCGCAATTTTATTTACCATGGACTGTTATGACGAACTCTTAGGGTTTATTATGGCCTCTTTCGTTACCGGATTTGAATTATGTTTTATATTTTTTTGAAAACTGTTTTGGGATTCTTTGATTGAAATTGTGAATATTCTAAAAACTTTTTAATGTTTTCATTGTAGAATTTGAAATCTTAAAATGAAGAATTATATACTATTTTAGTCTGATGATTAGTTTTAATTTGGTACCTTTAGGTGTTTTTTTTTTTTTTTTGGGATGCCAATTCAATGCTCCAAGAAAATGGGTTGAGTAAATGTTCTTTGAAAGTCGTTTTTCTTATTTCGGTTAGTGTTTTCTTTACTATTTTGGAAAATTTTGTTTCTTTAATTATCATGGACTTGTGATTAGTGATCTTATGTGCAAAGTAATCTTAATTTTTACAAATCACTCGACAATTCTGAAGAATAATCTTTTTTTCACAAAAAAAAAAAGAAAAAGAAACTGACCCCAAGTTTCAAGATGTGATTGCTACTAACAAAACAAATACTAGTGGCTAGCTGAAGAAGAAACTTTTGTTGCCATTGATGTCTTCATAATCATTTTCGAGCATTTATTGATAGTTTATACTATTTTTGTACAATGAATAAACTGTTCTAGAATTATATATCTTATGTTTTGGTGATCTGGACTGTCCATTCATTCCTATCTATTGATTTTTTTTTTCTATTGCCAGCTATAAGCCAGATGTTATTAGAGGAGATATGGATTCAATTCGGACAGAAGTACTAGATTTTTATGCTAAGCAAGTACGTTACTAAGCCACCCCCTCCCTTCGAAGAATGTGGGCCTTTTTTAAATGATTTTTCAAGTGTTTGATACCATGGATGGTTTCATCTTGTGCGTAATTTTTCCATTCTATGTTTTGATGAAGTTCACTTGCATTACATGTTGTATTTTACTATGCTGTTATCATGTATGGATTGCGGGCTCAAGTTATCCATATTCACATGGTGCAGGGAACCAAGATATTTGATGAATCTGAAGATCAGGATACCACAGACCTACATAAATGTGTTGCATATATTCTTCAATCTATGCCAAATCAGGAGGAGTCTAATGTAGGTTGGATCATGATGTAAATCTTAAGTGCCTTGTTTATTAAACTAGAAGTTTTGGATGTTCACATTCAACTACTGCGTTTTGTTCTGTGCGCTGACTTTTCAGATTGGCATTATAATGTTTGAGTTGTTGATTTTCAGCTGTGCATACTTGTTGCCGGAGCTCTAGGTGGACGGTTTGATCATGAGATGGGAAACATCAATGTTCTATGCCGTTTCTCTAGCACGCGCATAATCCTTCTGTCTGATGATTGTCTTATTCATCTTCTGCCAAGGACTCATCACCATGAAATCCATGTTCACTCATCTGTTGAGGGCCCTCATTGTGGTCTCATTCCAATTGGGATGCCCTCTGGACGCACTACGACCACTGGTCTCCAATGGGATTTGAGTAAGTACTGTCCTCATTCCTCTTTCTGGATCCAATGCTCTGTTTATTTTCAAAGAATGAACGACTGCGTTGTGTTATATGTTCTTATGTGCATCCTATCCTGTTTATGCTTGCTTTTAAGCAATTTTGAGTTGCAAAATAAGCTGACAATGTGATCCATCAGTTTTATTCCTCTTGCTATGAGTTCATTCTTAACTTCATGTTTCAAAAAAAACTTTGCAAGGAATTGGTCAATGCCAGCAGCTTTATGCTCAATTTCTTAAGCTTTTTTAGGAATTCCAAAACAAACAACTTCAACCTAATCTTTTTGTACGATCCAAGCCCACCACTAGCAGATATTGTCTTCTTTGGGCTTTCCCCCAAGATTTTTAAAATGTCTCTGTTAGGGAGTGGTTTCCACACCCGTATAAAGAATGTTTTGTTCTCCTCCCGAACCAATATGGGATCTCACAATCCACCCTCTTTCGAGGCGTAGTGTCCTCACTAACAATTGTTCCCTTCTCCAATCAATGTGGGACTCCAATCCCCATCCCCTTTGGGACCCAACGTCCTTACTGGCACACCGCCTCGTGACTACCCCTCTTCGGGGCTCAGCATCTTTGCTGGCACATCGCCCTGTGTCTGGCTCTGATACCATTTATAACGGCTCAAGTCCACCGCTTCCCTTAAGGTTTTTAAAATGCATCTGTTAAGGAGAAGTTTTCACACCCTTATAAAGAATGCTTTATTCCCCTTCCCAACTGACTTGGGATCTCACACCTTCAAACTCTTTATCTTTATCTTGTGATATTTTGAGAAGGTACTGTGGAAATAATTCATGTCTAACCTCATGAAGATTTCTTTCCAGATAGTCATTCGTTAATTCATTCTCTTCATTCTCTCCCTATGTGATTGTACTTTAGCATGATATTCCTTCAAGTTGTATGCTTACCATATTAGGGGATGTTTGGATCTAATTTTGCAAAGCTCTTAAATCTGCCCCAACTAACGATCTGGCATCCTATTTTCTTTTTCGATTCGTACTCTGCTCTTCCAGCTCCTATTTGCTCTTTCTCGACTGTTTTAGGGAAGTTTTTTTTTTAATATACTTCGGGCACGTTTGGGAATGATTTTGAAACGGCGACAAATCACTTTTGTCATGTCTTTTAGTTATTTTGGGCTGTCTTAAAATCACTCCGAACATATCTTTATGGAATTCTAACGTGTGCTGTTAACCATTTTGGTATTAATGTGTATTCCAGCTGATTCAGAGATGAAGTTTGGGGGTCTAGTTAGCACTTCCAATATAGTGAAAGGAGAGAAAGTAACAGTGCAATCTGACTCCGATCTTCTCTGGACTATCTCATTAAAAGGCAATGAAACGAAGGCATTCTAGCACGTAGTGCCAAATTTAGCAATGCTTCCTTGCATATTCAGCGTTAGGTAATGAAATCTTCTTTCTCCACCTAAAATAAGAATAACTTCGAAGATCTACCCCGTGATCTTTAGTGCTTTTCTAGAATTTGATTTTCAAGAAATTCATTTTCCATGTAACTTCATTTTTATTTTTATGTTGATTAGGAAGTTGTATTTGCAATGCATAAAACAGATCCGTGCCATTATTTGTATGTTATTTGTATTTGGTAACATTCTATACTCTAATAATTCATCTCTACTTTTAATTACATAGTAAAAATTAATTACATAGTAATGACGTTCATTGCTAAAAGTAAAAGTTATTGAGAAGAATCTTTTATTCTAATTTTAACTTCAACAATATTGCACATCTATTACCTGTGGTTCACAGAAATTTATCATTTTATGCTTAAACTTAATACTATACTATAAACTCTCAATACCCATATCACATTAAAAACTACGAGCAATTTGTTAAAAGTTGAAATAAAGAAGTTTGGTTCATAAGAATCTTGGATCTATTTCCCAGCTAATTTAAACAGCCAACCCAACCATGGATTGTTCTCTCCATATTACCAGACATCATAAACTGAGAGAAAAAAATCCACACGTAACTCAGTTCCAATTCTCATCTGAATGCATGTATGAAGTAGTGAAATAATACTTTTCCTGGATTGCAAGGATTTAAGCAGTTGAAAAATAGCAGTTCCAGAGAAATACATACTGAAATTAGCCAACATCATCATAAAGCTCAAAAATTCAAGCCACAACCATGAAAACATCATCAAATGCTTCTTGGTTATTTTTGAACCCTGCAAAATCATGTGCTAGCTGCTGCAGCTTCCTTTTTCCCTTCTGAGGACCCAACTCCACCTTCTTTGGCGACTTCTGCCTCGGGCTTGACAGATTCACTTTTCGCTGGATTCGACACCTCCTGTTCTAGTTCTACAAATATAGCGAACAAGGCATATAGTTAATGTTTGAAGTGTGAAAATGTCGTCCCAAAAATGGACGAGAATTCATTTGCCCGTATGCCCGTTTCTTAACTTTACTATTAACTACTTAAGATAAATCATCAATGACTTTAGTCACAGTAAACTCTTCATTGCTAAAGAAAAATGGGAGCTTACCGTCATCATCACTATCGTCGGAGTCATTATCGTCGCCCATGTCACCCATACCATCCATGCCGCCCATGCCACCAAATTTCTGCAAGATAAAATATGATTAGAACAAGATAATAGAGATACAGATCATCGCAATCACTTCAAATAGCACATCCTTACCGAAAAGTCCATGCCTCCCAAATCCAAGTCACCTAGACCAGCAGCTGTTCCTGAACAACCAAAGAGATAATCAACACATATTAGCTTCACAGACACGATGAGAAGTTTAATACATAGTGATAACCCAAAAACATAGCACACGACTAGACTACCATCGTCTTCATCCTCATCCACCCATTTGTCCCAATCTACTTTGACATAATGGGGTGGCTTTCCATCTCCTCGCAATAGCCTTTTCCACCATCCCTTCTCTGCCTTTTCTAGGATACAGAATATGCTCCGAACCCCAATGTTAACTTTACTTTCCTATTACAAGGAGAAACTAGTAAGTAAACTACAAGGTCGATTTATCATATGATAGCAAGCTCTAAATCGAAAAGCCATGGCAGGAATCTAGAAAGAGGTAATATGTCTACGTACCTCAACATTAACTTTATCAAAAAGCTCCAACTTCAGTTCGTAATGGTGATTCTCTGAACCGGCACTACCAGAGAAAGTGAAGACTCCATCTGGCTCAAGATTAACCTTAGAATCCTTCGAGTCTGAGAGTTGCACAGTGATAAAGACCTTGTCCAATCTCTGGGCCCATTTCACCTCAGGATGACGACTACATTGTATAAAGCAATTGTTATCAGTAATCGTAGATAATATTAAAAATATTGCAACAGTCTCCATAGGCACGTCCATAAAAGAAATCAACAAAAGAGAGAATTCAACTAAGTCAAGTTACTAAATCCATACATCATGCAATAGAACAACATTCAAAAAGTAAAGCCGCCCAAACTCAAAAAAATGAACCACCAGCCAAGTTGTTCGTTTCAAACTAAATTCAGCCGCAAAGGCAATAAGATATTGCAAGAATTTACTAAAATGACTTGTACCATAACACAACCTTAACAACAAGCCTAATTAAACCTATAAATTAAAAACAAATGTGCATCCCCACCAATTGTATAGTATATGATGTCAATAAATAACTTGTTTTGCAACCCAAATTCATGCGATTTGACAGATAATCCTAGGATCCATGGAGAAATGGCCGAACGCGAGAAGAAATAGCAAAAGCAACATAGTTAACACAAGAATCAAACTCGCAGGAACACTATTTAGAACCCTAATTAAACCTCCGCGATATTCCAGCCCAAAACCATCCAAGTCCGACAAGCACATCAATAACAAAACAGGAAGAAAAAAAAAAATTCCCACGACTATCATCATTTCGTAAGCCATTTCAACACAACAACTTACAAGATGACTCCGATTCCACATAAATAAAGTACAACAGATAAACTCAACAACGAAGCTACACTGATCTAATACATTTCGAGCGATCCAGTACAGTTCGAGAAGTAAAAAATGGCACAAACGAAGATCACAGATCAAAAATGACATAGAACAGAATGCAATCTAGCTTGACAGAGTGTGAAAGAGAGCAGTAATTTACCTCATTGCTTGAGATTACACGAAGATACTGAAAAAGTGAAAAACCCTAAAGAAAAATGAGGAAGAAAGGAAGATGAAACGGAAACCCTAACTCAGAGGATAAGCCAAATGGGCGCTGTGAGTAGCCGAAATAAAAGAGAGGAACGACGCTTCTATAACTTTCTAGCTACAACCTCCGTCTCCTTCTGACGGAAAATTTTCAGTCCAATTCGGCTTCCGTTCCTCTCCTCATGGGCCGATTTTCTTATTGGGCTTTCAGTAGGCCCAAGCCCAACAAACTATCCTTTGTTAAAATTATAATTTTAAATATTTTTTATTTAAGAAATATAAAATATATAAATAAATAAATAACAATTTATTTAAGTTAAACCCTACGAAAGCCCCAATCATCTTCTACATCTAAACCCTAGCCACCGGCTTCACCGAGCAGCAGAGGGAGATGGGAAGGTCTCGAAGGAAGTACAAGAGATCTCGGCCAAAAGTCCAGGTCGGCCTGCCGAAAAGGCACCCTAATGTTTTCAAGCCGTCCTTCTGCATGCCGCCGAAGCTCCGCTCCTTGCTCGTCGAACAATTTGAAGAAGATCCGGCATGGGATGAGAAAGCCAGTGTCATTAACAACTACAAGTCGTTCGGTGTTCTTTCTAACCCTAATTTGCTCAGCGTTCGTTCTCGAACTGATCACATTGTTGAGAGCGACTCCCTCCAGGTTCCTCCGTCTCAGTTGCCTTCTGATGATCTTGATTCTGTGCTTGATTCATCCGGTAGCGATGTGGAAGAGGACGGTGAGTTTTGAGTTTTTTTTTTTTCTTTCCTCTTTCGTTGTTGTTTTAAATTTCTGTTGGTGTGAGTGGATGATTCTCACGTCAATACTGTGATGTTTCCAAATTTGAAAAATATTTGGTTTACATGAAATTAGTTGATTTTATGAAATATGATGCCTTCCGCTCCAGGTTTAGTGAATTATCACTTGCAATAGTTTCTGCAACTTTGATAGTTTTTTGGTGTTCATGACCTGGAATTTTCGGAATAAGTAGCAGCTCTTCATTGAACCAAATTAGCCGTCCAAATTGATTGGATTTAGTTTACCATACATCATCTTTATGAAACCTTTTGCTGAATAGTTATTTATGAAATGATTAGAGAGGAACTGAAATGAAACGAAGATTGATTTTGATTGTAATGTCTTATTATCACGAAGGATCAAGAGGATGCCAAAACAAAATTTTGAGTTGCGTTTCTGAATCTAGCTGAGCTTGTGCTGATATTGTGATCTTTCCTTTGCGTTCTTTAGATTTGAAAACAGCACTAGGAAAGAAGCGCAGAGATGGGAAATCTGGACCTCTAAAACCCTTGACCACGATTCAGCGTGTTCATGTCGGTAGGCTAATCGAGAAATACGGAAATGATTATGAGGTAATTTTCAGTTTTACTTGCTCTTAAAGCTGCTTAATTTGCTTGTCTCATTGAAAATTCTCATGCAGAGGATGTTCATGGATACAAAGCTGAACTCAATGCAGCACTCAGTTGGCACTCTGGAGAAACTATGCAAACGATATCACAGTTCGGGTAAGAATCCATTGATATTGACTCGTTAAAGATGGAACGACCCCATCGTCTTTCAAATTGTTTTGTTACAATAGATGAATCAGATATGGTATTGTGATCATGAAATCTAATTGAGCAACATTGTTCGAACACAAGTATATGAGGCTTGAAAAGATGTCTCATTCTCTTGCTTGCAGCAGTTTTCTTCCTTTCTAGGAAATGCTCATAAGGACCCATGTTTAGTTAGTGGCATGTATAGAGCATTTTGATTTTGGGGAAACCGACTGTTTTGCAAGAATTTTAGGTTGTATGTAATATCTTATAAAAATTCCCAAATGCATTTTTGATATGTTTGAATCCATGAAATTGACATCCAAATCTATTTACAATCGAATGACCGTGTCTTAAGAATCGTGTTAGTCTTCATTAGTTTCGTTTTGAAATTTGGAATGTGATCTATTACACATGACTTTGACTTCAAATTTTGGGTCGTTGGTCTGTAACAATTTAGTTCGAGAACATTGAATTGGCTTCCATTGAGATGTCATCGGATTCTTAGGCATACAAGGAATCGGTTTAACATCTTTTCAATTGAAATTCCAATCAAAGACTAGTTCTATCAAGGTCGGAACCTAAAGAGAAGATACTCTCTTTGGAATTTTAAATGACACAACTTGTTCCTTCTTTAGCTAAAGTTTTGACCTCTTTTAAATGATCTAAACTTTGTGCACACATGAAAAGTTTGTCTAGCTTGCATGTAATGATTTAATACTTAATTTGAAAATTTCTATCAAAATTAAGTAGCAATTTTTATTATGTAACACCTTCGCTTATAAACACCTTTGCATTTTAATCAATTTACTGATTTACATGTGAGAAATTTGGTGTTTTAGTCATAAATGTTTTTTTTTTTTTAAATAAAAAATTACTTGAAGCAAAATACCCTTAATTTCCACAAACGGGATCAACTTCTGGGAACCTTTTCAAGTGGCTTAAACTACTGTGAAATTCTAATAAGAACAATAATATTTACAGTGTTCATACAGATTGATGGGAAAAGAGAATCAAACAGAAAAAATTGAAAACATTTAACAAAAGTAAAAGGGGTACTAACTAGACTCCCATGAATGCTCGAGACATGGATTCCCAATGCTCCTTTGCTTGCTTAACTCTCTCTGCCCTTTCAGTTCGGAGACGTTTCCCCCAGTACTCAGGGCAGCTGTTTAAACATATAGACAAAATCCCAAGTTCAAAAGTTGGAATCTAATAATCACTTTTAAAAGTTAAAAAATTTATCGAGCATACTTGAATTGGAGAGTTTTTAAATTATAGAAGTCTTAGTTCAATCAATAACCCAATCTTCAAATTGAGTCGAACACATACTCGTACGACATAGAGGAAACCTTTCGAAGAAGAGCATATCTCTCTCGATTTTGGTTTGTTTTAAACAACTAACCATTTTTTTCATACGTTTTCATGATCTATAAAACCAGGATTATAAACCTAGTAAAATTTTCAAACACTAAACTTGTAATTTAACATAAATGTGAGCTTTTACCTTTACCCGTCTCAATAAATAATAAAAAACATTTTAAACCAAAAAATAAAAAAATAAAAAATAAATCATATTTTAAAAGTTTCAAGCTACCTGTACTTTCCTAAACAATTTTTACATGTATTTTATCAGGAAGCCTGAGAAACAAGATATCTACTGACCTTCGCCTTAATAGAATACTGAGCTCTTCCAAATGAACAGCACCTTCGTAAACCTTTGCCTGTGTATCAATAGAAAGAATTAGAAGAGCTCGGATTGTTCAACAGACGGTTCATGGGTTTATTTCGAGGTTCATGGCTTAAATCATGGGAACAAAATTAGCCCAACGTATGATAGGACCGCTGTTGATACTAAACTGTTTCAATACTGTAACAATCCAAGCACACTGCTAGCAGACATATTGTCCTCTTTGAGTTTTTCTTCCCTCAAGGTTCAGTTTTTAAAACGCGTCTGCTAGGGAGAAGTTTCTACAACTCAAGTCCACCGCTAGTAAATATTGTCTTCTATGAGAGGTTTCCACACCCTCATTCTCCTTCTCAACTGATCTCGGATTTCACAAATACCATCTTGTTTTTTTTTTTTTTGACCTTTTTGAGCCAAATGATAGCTGAACGAAGGCTCACTGAATAATCATAGAGGCAACCTAACTAACCTGACGGCAGAGTGGGCACTTTGCTCTTGGATTTGCGGACTTTAGTCCATCAACTATGGTTACTGAAGCTGCCGAGCAAGCACACATGTGGCAAAATATATGGCCGCAAGTGAGAGAAACAGGATCAAATACTATGTCCTGCATATATAAACAGTGAAGAACTCCGATGAATATCCATTCAAACTACTCAAAAACTGAGTTCATCCCTCACCAAATCCAAAATGAACTATTGATATCACAACAGTGATTCAATTTACATATATTTGTCTGCAAGAGTAGATGGGACATTTTCATAACAATGTAAAAAGTTGAAGACCTGAAAGCTTACCAAACATATGGAACACTCCAAGTCGATGTCGAGTTTGATTGAATCGAAGAGCTCACAAGTAAGTGATGGCTTTCCATCAGTAATTGCAAGGGAACATTCCTCCAATACTGAAGAAATCCTCTTAGATCTGTGTGGTGTCTCCTTCAGGTTAATGTGGAATGCTATAAGCTCTGATAGCCATGGAGATTGCAGGATCTCAATGTGCTTACTGTGAGCTTGTGACTTGAAAGTTTGCCCTTGTTTGGAGTAATGAATCTGTACTCAGCAACCCAAACAAGAACTAAGCAAAAGAAAGGAAGCTAAATTACAAATTTAGTATGTAAACTTTCGTGGTTAACAAATTTGGACAAGAATTGATTCATTTGATATAGAGAAATGTATAATTATCTGGAGAAAATATAGGAACAGACACCTGCAATAGACAATCTTTTAAAGAAAGATGTCAAATCCTTTTTATTAGGAATTAAACAAGAAAAAACATTGAAGTGAATCAAACAAGGAATGGTAAAGCATATTAGGCAAATACCTTATCGTATTTCTTCAAGATCTTCCTAACTGCAATGGCGTTCATCAATGCATAATTAACCAATTCCTTCCCTTCTTGAACTAAGAAAGTATGGTCACTGTCCCGTTTGCCTTTGAACCATAAAAGATGTTTTCTAAAGCCAGAAGCGAGGTGCAGCTGAAGCAATTTCTGTGCTCGCTGATTAAAGCAGCCAACTATTGCAGACATTTCCTTGAGAAGGAAGGGGAAGAAAGTACCGTCGCACACTACGCCCACACAAATCGTCAAACAAAACAACGAACTAAAATCAAAATGCAATGTACAAACAATAAAGAGTTTGCCTCAACCAAGCAAAAGATCAAACGGCTAGGACTGTAACAGAAAGATCCCCAAAATTCACGAAATCCTTAAATAGGAAGAAGAAACGACAAAAATTAGCAGATAATCGAGTTTCCATACCTGAACAGTGATCTGGACACCTCTGAACGGCGATGGCGGAGCAAACGTCATCGCCATGGCGATGTCGAGACTGAAAATCTCTGCTACAATTCTTCAGAATCTTCTTGAGCCGCTTGAACTGAAATCCAGGTAGTTTCAGTTTCTTCTCCTGACCTCGCAAATACTCCTCGTACTTCTTGCAGAACTTCATCTTCTTCCTCGAGAATCCACACGCGTCGTTCTAATTTCCCCCAACAAATCCACTTAAATCGCCGAGAAGATAAAAAAATACAGTTAATCCTCTGAATTCTATCCGAAATGGATGCAAATCGACCGGAATCCAATACACAGAAAAAACGAATCAGACACTTTCACAAGAAGGAAGTGAAAAAAATATATCTCAAACCGTCTGAGAGAGACGGTAACCAAACTGAAAAGGAATTTCTCCGCCGAATGAACACTGAATAACAAAAAGGAACAGGTGTTTGGAAGCTGAGAAAATTCAGATTTCTTACATGAAATAAATTTTCTCGGCAATATCTTTTTCGTTTCTGAACATCATCATTGATAAGATTTCGTTTGTTTTCTTGAGGGTATATGAAGATTGAAGGGCTGTTACTTTATAGTACAACACAATATGAAATTAAAATATATTTTAGAATTAAAAAAAAATCTTGTTTTTTATGAGATATTTTTAAATTTATTTGGTAATAAATTTATTGACAAATAAAAAAATCATACCAAAAGGGTTTTGGAAGTATCAACTTTTTAGAATTTTGGGTTTTGTTTTCAGTGTCGTTTTATTATATATATTATTATTATTTTTTATTTTTATTTTTATTTTTTTTTTGTAAAAAACAATAATATTTATTAATATTAAAATTTTATTAGAACTTTATCAAAATAATTAGCATAACTTTTAAAATATTTTTAATAAGTTAATTAATAAAAAATCAAAATTGGTTCAAAATATCTCTAAAAATTAATATTTTTCTATGAGTCATTGTATTGGATAATCAATTTGATTTTAGTAAATAAGTTTATTACTTTGTATATTCTATCTAATTATTAAAATAAACTTCATAAATTAAAAAATTGAAATAATGGAAATTTAATAAATAAGACCGTGATTATCGTAGTAAATATCTTAAATTTGATTCACACTCCACACTATTTTATTTTTTAATAGAAAAATAGAACAAGAAAATTTGAAAATTAAATTAAAAATTAAAATTAAATTCAAACTAAATTGATAATTTTAATCAATTATATTATAAATTTGATTTTTATAAGTTAAATAATATTAGAATTAAGTTTCGAATTTTATATATTTAATAAAATCTTATAAATAATTTTATAAATTTGGGAGGGATTTATTAAATTATATACCCTAATTATATATAAAATGATTTTTTTGTACTATAATAAATTTATTATTTAACTATTATTTATTTATTTATTTTTATTTTTTTTTGACAGCTATATAGTTGTATATACAATTGGCGCGCACACAGATTATATATATTATTATTTTCATTTTATTTATTTATTTATTTTCAAAAAGCCATGACTGTAAAGTTCTATCTGACGTGACACTTTCCGTATAAGACAAGCAATACCGCCGACGAAGCTATAAACTATGGACTATTTTAATAAGCTTAACCTTACAAAAAAAAATCAAAATTAAAAAAATAACAAATAAATATTTTACATAGAATAATAGAAAGGGTGGTAAAAAAAAATATTTAATATGTGAGATTTTTATTTTTATAATTTCAGTAATTATTTAAAATAATATTTAAAAATAGAATGGTTGTCAATATATTTATTTTTTAAAAATAGTTAATATATTTAGGTTTATGTTCACAAATTAAACTTAATAAAATAGTTGTGATATATTTATTTTTAAAAAATTAAAAATATTAATATTACTTTATTTATTTATTGGTATTTTTGAAATGTAATTATATGCTAATTTAAAAAAAAAATTAAAAACTTTTTTTTTTAATAAAATTAGGATATTGTAGAACTTTAAAAAAATTAAAAAAATTAAAATATTTTTTAATTTTAAGTATAATATTAAAATTTTACAACATAGAATTATATTTTTAAAATAGGATAGAAATTATTTCCAATTTTTTTTTAATATGAGTAATTTTATTAACTTGAACTATAACTTTTATGTTCAAAGTATACACAATTCTTTAGTAGATATTTGTATTAACTGCTAATATCTAAACATAATTTATATATATTTAAATTTTAAAATTTTAATTTTTTTTTTTTTATTATCCAAACCTAAAGCAAAATCATAATAAAAAAATTATTTTAATAAAAAAGGTAGGGACGGGAGAGTTGATCCATTGAAATGGTTTTATTTTATTATTGTTTATTTGTTTATTATTATTATTTTGGGTTGGTTTGACAATATATAAATGCTATTATTTTTTTTATTAGGATCATATTTATCAAAGTGGGCCATAAGAATTTGACTATCAATTTAATCATTAAATTTATTACATTCCTCAAATATATTATAGAATTAATAAACTATAGTCATATTTAAATATGTGAATTTTCTATTTATAAATTTTCAAAATATGACTTTAAAAAATTAAAGTTGTACCCATTTTGCAATATCTGAATCATACAATTTCTCATTAATTTACTAAATAGATCTTATAAAAAAAAATAATATAGAAAATAATACAAATAATGTCAACCAAAGCAACAATTTCATCGATATAGAATCATACAGTCCACCCCTTTTGAGGGCCAGCATCCTCGCTGGCACATCGCCCTATGCCTGACTCTAATACTATTTATAATGGTCCAAGTCCATCGCTACCAGATATTGTTTGTTTTGACCCGTTACGTATCATCGTCGACTTCACATATTTAAAATATATATGCTTAGGAGAGATTTATAGTTTTGTTCTCTCACACTATTAATAATAATAAAAAAAAAATTAGAGTTAAAAGTATTTTTGAATATGAAGTATTTATATGAAACAAAATATTAATTAAAATAAAAATATTTTTTAGAGTTAATTAAAATGATATTTTTATTAACTTACGATGAAATAGTTAAAATTAAAGTGTATGCGAACCACGTGTCACTCTTTCTCCGACTAAATTTGCAACGTGTGGCATTCATTCCCCACTGGCAGCTTAGCTGGCAATATTTCTTGCCACGTAACGTTAAATAGTCCGGCTATAAATACGCGCCGTCCTTTACTCTTCTTTTTCATTAAAATCATCCGTCTCTAACGCGAAGTGGTGATTGCCGAAGCTTTATTCCAATGGCGACTGAAGGGAAGGAAGTCATGGTGGTCGGAATCGACGACAGTGCGCACAGTCTTTACGCTCTGGAGTGGACCTTAGATCATATCATCGTTCCATTCACTAAAGCTAACTCACCGTTCAAGCTCTTTATTGTTCATGCCAAACCTTCCCCTGCCTCCGCCGTCAGTCTCGCCGGACCTGGTAACTGATTCACTTCTTTTCTTGCTTTCTTGTTCATGGATGATTAATCCGTTGAGGATTCGTAAATAAATAGGAGGTTTAACTTTAATCGACTGTTGATTGAAGGAGCGGCTGAGATTTTCCCTCGTGTGGATTCGGATTTGAAGAGGATTGCATCTCGAGTTATCGAAAAGGCGAAGGAGGTTTGCGTCGCCAGATCGGTAATCCTCTTGATTCTTTCTTACTATAACCTGAATTACTTGTGAAGGATTTTCCTTAAGCGAAATGATTTAGGATTTGTTTCTTTTTCAGAAAGAAAGTGAGCAGACAGAAAAGAAAATTGTTCGAAAAGAAAATTTGTGCACTGGCAATAAACCTCAAAAACTTTTGTTTAAGAAAAGTGTTTATGAATTGAAATAGGAATGGAAGTAGCAAGATTGTCATCATATTGATTATTCATCCTATTGTTGCAGGACTACAGGAAAATGGTAGAGAGAAAAGGAATTAATAAAATAGAAGTAAAAAGTAGTAATACCTACTCAAATTGATTAAGAATGAGATTCCTTATCCATGATTAAACATGTCTTGCTCTAGAAACATCCAGGACAACTATACAACTATAATTAGTATTTCACTGTTTATATGATTCAAGAATGAGATTCGTTATCCATGATTAAACATGTCTTGCTCTAGAAACATCCAGGACAACTATCCAACTATAATTAGTATTTCATTCTTTATATGATTCAAGAATGAGACTCTTTATCCATGATTAACACGTCTTGCTCTAGAAACATCCAGGACAACTATACAACTATACTAAGTATTTCATTGACTAAATGATTCATTTATTTTATTTCCAAGGCCCATTGTTTGTAGCTAGTTTCGCTTTTTTATTTACGTGTTCCTAGTTGATTTCCAGTTTCCAGACCTCCATGGTTTGATGGTACAGAAGAACTGAACCACACATCTGTAGGAATACCTTTAACTAGGAAGTGGAAAATCTTTTCCATAGAATTTTGGTGTACGATATAAAATGTTGAAGATGGATTGGATGTTTTTTCGTGTCTAAAGCAGCTCTGGTGGAAAGCATCCTTTTAAGAACTTTATGCATTCTATTATTGATGATTATTGTTCATGTGTGATAATGATATTCAGGTGCATGATGCTGTGCTGGAGGTGATAGAAGGAGATGCCAGGAATGTTCTTTGTGAGGCTGTAGAAAGGCATCGTGCTAGTATGGTGGTCGTTGGAAGCCGTGGCTATGGAGCTATAAAGAGGTACTTCTCTTATTACCACCAATGTGAATATAATTATCTAAGAGCTAGGAAAAGCATGGCAGAACTCGATTGATGATCTAATCAAGATATTAGAAACTGGGAAGAATTCAGGTCTTCTTTGTTTGCTTTTCAAAAATTGACATAGGATTAAGAAACGTTCTTACAAATGGAGTTTTCATTGATATGGTCAAATGCTTGGTTGTTGTTGAGTTGAGAATAACGAAGCCCTTTATTAAACTGGATCTGATTGCGATGGCAGGGCTTTTTTAGGCAGCGTTAGTGATTACTGTGCTCACCATGCTCACTGCACCGTGATGATTGTAAAGATGCCTAAAACCAAGCACTAAATCCCATGGCCTTTTAGTTCTTTTCCCGAGTGGTAGTGTGGAGATCCCAGATGGTGTTAGTTTGCAGAATCCTAAAAAAAATTCATATCATCATCATCGAGTAAATGGTCTTGTACTGATACGAACTTGTGATATTTGACGCTCTGTAATAATAAAAGCTTCCTTATTGGTATAATTCGACTCTGTTTACACGTGTCATTATAGCTTTTACTTCAAGGTGTCTTCTGTTGTGTGATCAATTTCCACGTGTACTGAATTCTCTTTGTTTTTTTTTTTAATGGTATTTTTGGTAGCAGAAAATATAAGGAAAAAAAAAAAGATTATTAGGGGGGTTTTAATTGATAAAATGCTTAGATTATAATTTGATTTTTGTTTTTTTATGATTTAATTCTCAATCATTGATGAGGTGTCGTTTTAGTGTGTTTATTTTGTAGTAGTCATTATGATGATATCAAAGTTTGAATTCGTTTGTATATTTAAGTTTCTAAAGTTTTTTAATACGTTACGTTTCAATATTATTAAAAGCAATAGTTGTAGTAATCTTTTATCGAAGGTGAAGGTTCCGATTCTATTCATTCATTTGCAACGTTTGACAACAAATAAATAAAAATAAAATAGGTAAAATATATTTTTTTTCTAGACCCCAATAAATTTTATATTAGACATGCATGCAAATAATATCTTGTGTAATATTATTTATCATTTTGTACATTTACACGTAAATAATGATATATTGTGTAATTTTTTTTTTAATAAAAACTACATATTACGCAATCAAAAGCCAAAATAAAATGGCAAGAAAAATGGTACAGAATTTATAAAAAGATTGAGGAAAAAAGGGAAATATTAGCAGGCAGAATACGAAGAAACCACAATTTAAAAAAAAATAAAGATCAAAGAAAAAAAGACAGACCAAGAAAAAAAAAAATCTATTTTATAGTGTTAATTACTAGAAATGGAAGATTTGCATTCGATATCCATATCCAATAAATAAAATATAAATTAATTAAATATTAAAAATCAAATAAAAAAATATAAATTAATTAAATATTAAAAATTATTAAAAATCAAGTAAGAAAAATATAAATTAATTAAATATTAAAATCTAATATAGAAGCGAGCCACTAATACTTACGAAAATATAAATTAATTAAATATTAAAAATCAAATTAGAATATTAGGATAGAAGCTACTCACCAATATTATACTAATATTACGATTACGATAGAAGCTAGCCACTAAGAAAATATAAATTAATTAAATATTAAAAATCAAATCATAATAATACTTACGAAAATATAAATTAATTAAATATTAAAAATAAATTATATAAAAAAGATTAAGATATAATATTTAAAATATAATTCATAAACTAATATATTTAATTATTTACAACTGCGTTGTAGATATGCATAAAAAAGAAAAAGTTACTTTTAAAATATCATATTAGGCATTTCTTATCGTCCATCCGAACCCTAAATTAAGAGAGGTGGTCCTTATTTCAGGAGCACGGCCACGACCGAAGTATCCAAGACGACCTCCGATAAAAGCCGCCCCTCAGCCGTCTGCCGTCGTCCGCTTCCTCTCTTCGCCGTCAGATGTCGGCTTCAGTCACCTCCATCTGAAGGTTTCGATCGTCGCAGGAGTAAGGCCTCTCTCTCTCTCTCTGCTTTCATTTAGTTACTGTCAAATTTACTCAACCGGATCAATGTTCTGAACAATAACTAATTTTCTGTGTTTGATGCTTTATGGACGAATCAAATGCTAATTGTAATCCTGTAGTACAAACAGTAGCTGAGACCAATGCTAATTCTAATTCGCCTCGCTTTTTCCTGCTTTGGTTGGGACTAATGCTATATCACAGTTAGAAATTGCAGAACATTAGCTGCGTCGTGTTAGCCTTTTTCAGTTGTTTTAAAACCTTGGAAGCTAGTTATGAATTGTTCACACTCGCAGTGTACACATGGCTTTGTACTCTGTATTTGAAGAACTAGGATTTTCTTTTTATTCTTATAATTTGGTTAGATACTGTAATGCCTTGATTTGAGTGCATTTTCTTTTCTCAACTTATGGAATTAGTACTTGTCTGAATTATACTAGCCTGCAAGATTGATGAGCGCGAAAACTTCTCTGTTCTAAATGTTTTTAATTGATCTTTGTTGGTTTGTGTAGTTCATGTAGACCAATACGTACACTTCCAATGTTTCGTAGAAGAATACAGAAATTTGCTGCAAACTTAACGAATTCAAGCAAGCATCCATTTCTATGGTATTCAACAAGGTCTAGTTCTGCAGTGTTATTTCAGAAGCTAAAGAAGTCAGAGAGGAAGCCACTGGTAACGAGTATAAACGAGCTGAAGCGTGCAGCAAGATTGAGAGCGAAAGCGAAGCAGAATGTTGAGGAAAACTCTTTGCAGCCCCCGGCCAATGGCTTGCTGGTCAAGGGCTTGGTTCCAATTGCTCATGAAGTTTATGCTGCAAGATCTGAACTATTTTCATGCATTTCCACGGTGATTAAGAGAAGCATTGTGCATTGTTGTAGGTAAGATACAAATGGTGAGATTCCACATCGGTTGGGGAGGAGAACGAAACATTCTTTATAAGGGTGTGGAAACCTCTCCCTAGCAGATGCATTTTTAAAACCAAAAGGGAAAGTCCAAAGAGGACAATATCTGCTATCGTTGGGCTTGGGACATTACAAATGGTATGTGAGCGAGGAGGTTGGGTCCTTCGGAGGATGAACTCGAGGCGACGTTCACAGAAGAGTCAAACTGATTGTTATTTATACCCTAAAAACTATATTTTCAGCTGCACGACAAGGATCTTAATTTCTTATTGATCTTGTTTTCTCATTTGTGTAGAGTCTGTGGAGAGGTTCATATTGGTCATCCGCCACATAAGATTAGAACATGTAATGTTGCTGGGAGCGCACCAAACAAAGAGCACACTTGGGAAATTGGAGGCATTCAGCATGTCTTTCCTACTGTGGAATCTTTTCATTTATATGACCGTATTGGCAGAGCTGTTTCACATAATGAGCAGCTCCAGGTGGATCGAATTCCAGCAGTAGTAGAGTTGTGCATTCAAGCTGGTGTTGACATCCCCGAGTACCCTACAAGGCGAAGGACATTTCCGATTTACAATGTTGCTGGAAGGACTATCGACTTTGAGAAGAGGTTCCCCAAGAAATTCATCCTGGAAAAAGGCATTAATTCGTATGGATTTTGGAATGATAAGAAAACAGTGTGCGTGGACACATTATCGAAAAATTCCGATGATTTAAAAGGTTAGTATTGTTTGCACTTCTAGTTTCCACTATTCAATCTATTGAGTTTTTACCTGTATTGGACCTTGCCATGCTATATGACATCCCAACTTTTCATAGCTAAAAAAATTTGGGATTTCATTTTGATATGAATGCGATTAGGATGGAATTAGGGTATTAAGTGGATACTAGTAATGAAATAGGAAAGTTGTTCAGAGGTCGAGAATTGCTTAGGAGCTTAAAGCTCAAGTGAGCATATTCGAGAAAGGGAGGTTCGAATATGTAACAGTCCAAGTCCACTGTCACATATATTATTTTCTTTGGGCTTTCCCTTTTGGGATTCCCCTCAAGGTTTTCAAAACGCGTCTGCTAGGGATATTTTCTACACCCTTAAAAAGAATGTTTCATTCCCTCTCAAATTGAGGCGGGATCTCATAATCCACCTCCCTTCGGGGCCAAGCGCCCTCGTTGGCATACTGCCCAGTGTCCACCCCCTTAGGGGCTCAGCGTCCTCGCTGGCACATCACCCGGTGTCCTCCTTTTGGAGCTCTACATCCTTGTTGGCACACTGTCCGGTGGCGCTAATACCATATGTAATAGCTCAAGTCCACCGCTAGCAGATATTCCTTTCGAGCTTCCCTTCAAAGTTTTTAAAACGCGTTTTGTTAATGAGAGGTTACCACACCCTTCTAAAGATTCTCCAACTGATGTAGGATCTCACAAAATAGATTTTTTTCCTAACATTTTGCACTGAAATGTAATTTGGTATCCATGTCATTTCAGTGACAGCCATCCAAGGCATGGAATTATGGGATAAAATGATATCCGGAACAGAAAAGCTCATGAAAACGTATGGCGTACAAACATGTGGTTATTGTTCAGAGGTGCAAGTTGGACCTAAAGGCCACAGGGCTAGGAACTGTCAAGCTTACAAGCACCAGATGAGGGACGGGCAACATGCGTGGCAGGAAGCAACAGTAGATGATTTGATGCCTCTGGTGTATGTGTGGCATGTTCAAGATGTGCACAGCTCTGAGCCTCTATTGAATAATCTGAAGAGGTACTACGGCGTGTTGCCTGCAGTGGTGGAGTTATTTGCTCAAGCCGGAGCTAATGTGGGCGAGAGATACACAAGCTTCATGAAGAAAGATGTAGTAGTGCCCGAGTTGGATGAAATCAATTTGGTTGTTTAATGGCATTTTAACACTTATTTGTTAACACCAAAATTCAATTTAAAAAGTTACCCCAAATAATATCTCGAACCTCAGGAAATACTTGACGACATTCAAAATACAATCCAAGTAGAAACAAATTTTTAAATACTATCCTGAAACTAAGAATGTAAATTTTGGGAACATTATAATCACCAAACAAAACATAGTTACTACCATATAGTCTATTCTGATAGGTTCACCGACTAATACTCAGATACGAACTCCCTCCAGCCTATCACATGAGAGTCCAAACAAGACAGTTGCTATCATACTGGATTTCAGCTTCATCTTCATCTGTTCAAACAGTCAGAACAAGGATTGGTATCACAAAATGTTTCAAGGACATACAGTTATACAAAAATGTGTGCACAATCCATGGCGTTCGGAGTGTCGCAGTAAAAGTTGTTATTCTTGACTGCAGAAGTTGAAAATAAAATTACCAAAAGCTCTACCGGGACGGGCTCTTGCTCTTACTCCTGCTTCTGCTAGGGCTTTTGCTAGCATCACGCCGGTTAGGACTTTTACTAGTACGTTTCTCACGCTGCCATATAAGACGATCATATGCGGACACAAGTTTACTATAAACTTGTATGGCCAGAGCAAAAATACACAATATAAAATAATAGATTGTAATAGGTATCACTTACATTGGGCAATGGAGATCTGGATCTTGATCGGGATCTGCAAAATGTCCAGAAATAACCAAAATTTAAAATCCACGCCTCTTTTACCAAATGTGATCCAAGAGCCTGACGCCTCGTCCACATTATATACGTGAGATAGAAAAATAGTATTTTAGCAGTTCAACTATGAAGATTATACGCCAATTCAAAAACTTAAGACTCCAAAGTGAAGACCTAAAATTAGAAAACTTCAATCTATAGGAACCAATATATTATAGAGACACCAGTGGACGGGCGAGGAGCATTCTTCCCTACTGTGCCTCAAAAAGTCCACAATGAATCCAGATAGTGCGTCCTATAGCTTTGCAAATCTTGCAGCAGAAAATGTAAATGAAAGTGATGATGAGTTCCAAGTCCAAATAGCACTTAGTCCAAGATATCCAGCTCTATTATTGCAATCCATGATCTCCTTTGATCCAAATCTAGCACCCATGGACATTGCATTGCTAAAAGCATTAGAACAGGGGGTACCAGATGGTTTTCAAAGCTGCCCATCTAAAAAACAGCATACCTTCTCAACCAAAAGCATTGAAGGCAAATGAATCAAATCCCATCAGGATACTAATATCCAATCCCCAGTATGCCGCATATTTCCATATCTAAAAAAACAAACAAGTAATTTTCACACACAAAAAAGGACAATGAATGAAAGAAATCTATTCATTTCTTGGCTACCCCAGTTGTTGAACAAATAATTCCAAGTAATTAAAATTAACGCAAAATCTGATGTAAAATAGTAATAACTAAATTGAGTCAATAAGGAAAGGTTTACCCAACATTCCAATAGAGGGGGTCCCACACATTGCCCAGACTAATTTGAAGTCTGTCAAGTATTCATCTCCACCATTCTCAGAATGATCCAAGACTATGGAAGAAAAGGGTGGTTTTCCCATACAAGGGAATTGTACAAACCACAATACCACATGCAAACACATAGCACCCGGTAAGGTAATTTCAAATCCGTTGCTATCAACCACTTTCTGACCAGTTTTTGAGCAATACAAAAGAATTAGTTCACTTTCAATACTTTTACGTTGTTTATTTCACCCTGTCTAACATTCTGCCTAAGGAAAGACAGGTGCAACAAACAGACCCTGCCCGTGTGACAACTCAAATCATATAAATATAGACAAACAATGAACAGACTGCAGTTAGATCTTATTTAAAAAGAAAACAAAATAGAATTGAATAAAATAAAATTAAGAATGACAAAAATGAAAGCTAGTAGTTTACAAAATGAGAATACATACCCAGAAAGAGATGGTGACTTTGACCGAGAGCGAGCAGGGGAAACAGACCTTGATCGAGATTTAACAGGTGATCGCTGGGAAGATTTAGCTTTTGGGGACTTGCTGCTCAAAAGTTAATAAAACATTAAATAGAAGGAAGCAATGAGCTAAAACTAATTTACTGATAACAAACCAACCAACCTCCTACTGCGGCTCTTGCTCCTACTGCGGCTCTTGCTCCTACTTCGGCCTCTGCTACGACTGCGACTGCGACTACAAGTCCTCTCTCTAGAATATGACCGCCCACGACTAGGACTCCTGGAGCGATCCTTCTTTGAATCATATTCTCTCACCTTCCAAAAAAAAAAAATGAAAACAGGTAAGAAACAATATGACAAATCATGAAAAATTAATTAATAGGAGAGGGTATAATTCATACACGAACATATGCCCGAGAAAATGCATTGCGAAACTCAGAGTCATCAAGTTTTTTAATCTGCAGTGACAAGGAAACAGGTATTATAGCACATAACCAAACCAAAGATTGGGCTCTTAAAGTCATTAGAAGCAATACAAGATGGCAGATGAACATTAAGGTTCAATATTTCAAACATATTAGTACAAAGATAAAAACTACTTACTGCATACTTCATGTCATCAAGGTTGGTGTAATCCACAATCCCTGTGGTTCCTGCAACACATTGAAAGAAATAGTTATTTGGTTCTCAAAAACACATTATAGTGAGTTTGAAGCAACTTCAGCAGAGGTATCTCACCACTACCATCACGGAACACTTGGGAGAAACAAACATCCCCAGCTCGCCGCATATGATCCTTCAACATTAAATAATATGATATTCAGTGTGAATCAGAAAAAATAGAACGCCTAGGCAGATACACTTCATGTCAAATAGAATAATCTTACCTTTAAGTCTTGCCATGAAGCAGAAGAAGGTAATCCTGTGACTAATACTGCATAAACAAAATATATATATATTACAAGATCCAATGTTTACAATGTCAAAATATTGTATGGTGCCTAAGAAATGAGTATATACCACGATAATCAGAGCGCCGAGATACTCCACGGCCACCTCGGCTGCCTCCATAACTACTATGACGATCACTGGAAGATGAATGACCACGACCACCATGAGCAAGCTCCACCTAGAAACAGAAAGAAAGAAACAATGCATAAATTACAACTGTAAAGCAATGAAGTACAAAAACGACCAATTCTCATAACAATTGAAATAGACTTGGTTAGTGACTCACACGCAACCTATGACCATCAAAATCATAGCCATCACGACCACGAATAGCATCTTGAGCATCTTCCGCATCTTCAAACTACAATCATTAAATCCATATTGAGAACACAAGTAACAAGTATCTCATAGGAAGAGAAAATATCATATCATATGCAATAATCTCACCTCAACAAATGCATAACCTGGAGGCCTTGGTGGAACCTTGAGATCAATGTGAGCTATGCGACCATACTACCATAAAATGTCGAATGAGAACAGATTTAGATTAAATATTTTCAACAAATAAAACTCCAACACTTTTATAACGTTGTCTCAGATCATCTTGAACCTTCAAAAAAGAAAAGGCACAGAACATGCGTCGATAGTTCAAAAATGGGAATTACATCTACATTTGCAAGATCCTCATACTCCTCTCCTTCTGAGTATCGAAAGCAAAAGGTTTAACATTCTACGCTCGCACTCCTTGTGACTAAAGCTTTATAATATCCAGACATACCATGCAGCACCAACGTGACAGATTCGTGCACGAAAAAACTGTTGGTCCCCTAAGAAACTCAACGTAGGTGCCAAATCATCATGCACATACAAAATTACGAAGAATTACCTTATAAAATAAATCTTCCACTTCCTTTTCACGAATATCACCCGGGAGATTGCCGACATACACTGTTCTGCTGGCACGGCCGCTCATTTTTCCCTAAAAAGAAGAAACGATTAACCTTAACGATTATACCTCACAAAAAACAAAGAAAAATAAATCAGAAACTACGAAGTCTAAGCCTCGATTAAGATTAAACTTGCCTTAACAAACAAATAAGATCAAATTCGAAGAGCACTCTATATTGAAATTAAAAACGAAGATTCAGCGTTTGATTGAACGTTACCTCGAATTCGATCTGTGGACGACGAAGCGCAGGGGCGAGAGAACTGTAAAATGTTAGGGTTTTGAAATCAAAAGATGGAGCCACGAGTAAATATATGGTACGGTTATAATAATCTGTATCGCGTTGCACAGTAATGTCCTGGATATGTTTACTACCAGTTACATAATGCGTAGCAATATTTTAAAATAAAATTCATTTCCCCCCTTGAAATTTGTAATTAATTCAATTTTACACCTCTAAATTTTTAATTATTATATTTTAGTCCTTATAACTCATAAATATTATACTTTGGTCCCTTCTTAAAGAAATATTACACAATGAGACTCTGAATTTTCTAATTTGATCAATTATCTCATATTTTGATAAGTTTGCAGTTACGCCCTTAAAATTTTAAATTTAATCGATTGATTCACATTTTTATTTAATAAATTAGTTTCGTGTTCTATATTTTTTCATTGTTATTTTTAATAAGCATATGAAATTAATGGGTCTAAGTTAAAATTTAATAATATAATTATGACACATAACAAATTTAAAAAGCTTGATTTAATCAAATTAAAATAAAATTTTAAGGGTGTGATTATAATGAAAATTTTCCATTATCTAATAAAAATATGTATGTGGAATCAAATGATATTTAATTTTTCAAATTTATAAACTATAATTTTATTTTAAAAACTTTTAAGTTTAACTACAAAAACATTTTTCCAATTTAAAATAGTTAAATGATTTTTTGTGACATTTCACGTGGGTGACCATGTCGATGACTCTACTCCGACTTTTGTTAGCGATCAACGGTGACCACCATTGGCGACCAACTCTAACGACAAATAACAACAACTATAACGATCGCTCGATGGAAGGTGTTAGTCAGCTAATCATATGTTTTAAATACAAATTTAATCCTTTTAGTGTCCATACATCGATGATCTTGGAAAATTTCCCCCACAATGTTTAAGACTTCAAGTCGCTCTATGCTTGGGTGCTAATTGAGCTTCTCTCAAACTTCAACTTAGGGTATAACAATTCAAGCCCACAACTAGCAAATATGGTCTATTTTTTACTGTTATGTATCACCGTTAACTTCACAGTTTTAAAACGTGTCTACTAGTGAGAGGTTTCCACACCCTTACAAGAAATGTTATGTTCCCCTCTCCAATCAATGTAGGATCTCACAATCTACCCTTTTGGGGGACGATCGTTCTTGCTGACACACCGCTTGATAACTGGCCTCTAATACCATTTATAACAGTTCAAGTCCACCGTTATATTGTCTACTTTAGCCCATTACGTGTCACTGTCAGCCTCACGGTTTTAAAACACGTCTACTAAGGAGAGGTTTCCACACTCGTGCAAGAAATGTTTCGTTCCCCTCTCCAACTAACGCGAGACCTCACATTCGGCTTGAACCAAATGTATTCCATGGTTAAGCTCTACAGTTTCAACCAATGAGACATGTTATACTGCTACCACCTCCCTATAGCTAATGAACGTAAGAACCATACATGACACGATGGGGATTTTTTTTTTTCCATAGCCAAGTAGCAATCAATACTACTGTGTTACAGAGATCTCATGATGAACAAGTCAAAGATGGATTATAAATTATGGCAAAAGAGATACCAAATTTTCCTAGATTTCCTTTGTTCCCAAGTTCACGAGAACTCAACTGCCATTCACATGTTTTTCACCTTCCTAACTTATTTCAGCTCACCACTACCTCTTCAATGCATTCACCATCCCCACGCCTAATGCATAGCAAACACCCACAAAAAGCTGTTTCAAATGAACTTTCCAAGCCACCCCCAATACCCTTTTTCTCACTATATAAACTCATTAATCTTCACATTAACTTCAATCAAATTCACAAATCAAAACAGTATCCTGAGTTCATAGGAATTAAATCTTCCATTTCCACGTACCTTTTTCGCTCTTTCCAGCCCTCCACTTCTCTCAGACATTTCGTCGAACATGTTGCGTGCACCCACTTCAAGAACCTCAATCGTCACCCTTTTAGCCTTCATTGCAATTCTTCCATGGCTGACACACTCAGCCCAAACGAGCTACGTCCAAGAAGCGTGCAGCGTAACACTACACCCAGATCTCTGCATCCGTTCGCTGTCGCCATTTTCAAGCACCGCCAAGCGAAGCCCTACAAAGTGGGCAAGGGCGAGCGTGTCGGTGACGATAACTGAGGCCAAAGCCGTGGCGAGATTCTTGGTGAGGCTGAAGAACAACAGACGTATGAAGGGAAGAAACAGGGCTGCAGTTTCGGACTGTGTGGAGGTCTTTGAAGACGCCATTGATGAGCTTCACAGGTCACTTGGGGTTCTTAGAAGACTGAGTAGGAGCAAATTTGACGCACAAATGGGGGATCTGACGACGTGGGTTAGCGCTGCTCTGACAGATGAAGATACTTGCGTGGATGGATTTGAAGGGGAAAGGGGAAGATTAGTGAATTTGATACGGAATCGTGTGGTGAAAGCTACTTATATTACCAGTAATGCGCTCGCTTTGGTTAACAAATTGGCTGCCTCTGGTTTTGAAACTGCCCCCAATCTATGAAGAACGCCATGGAATTGGAGATCATACATAGTATATAATATACATTTTGCCACTTCAGAATTTGGTATTTTCAAGTTTTAAATTATATTCCACTTTATGTTTTTATTTTTTAATTTTAAGCTCAAATTATAAATTTTGTCTGGAATTTTCTAGTAAGCTTTCAAGTAGACTTGCATATTCTTAGTTTAATTGATCAAGTAAACTCTCATTAATGAGCGAATCACTAATTTTTATATATCTTCTATATTATATAGTAAATTTTTAATGTTTTTAAATATATTTTCTATAATTAAGATAGGATAGTTTTTAGTTAACATAAAAGAGTTAAAAAAAACTAAAAAAATAATTAAATAAAGTTTTATAGTATTAAAATAAAATAGAAAGTCAACCAATTTTTTAAGAAAACATTAAAATATATCTATAAAAAATACAAAATTAATATTGAGCTAATCCAATAAGTCATCTTCCTTGCAACCATAGAATAGTTTGAGAAATTGGGTCAAATATCATTAAAAAGAAAAACAAGAAAAAAAAAAAGAAAAAATAAGTCACCTTCCTTCAGATCTTACCATGAAGAGGGAAATATTTAGTATAAAGATTTGGTGGTAGGCCGACAAGGTTTAATTCTTTCAACGTTGTCCTTTCGAGAGATACTATTATGTAAAAGTATGATTTCATGGGAGGAAAGAGCATTTTTATATTATTGTATTAGTAGCCTAAATTAGGCGCTAAAACACATACATAAAGAGGGTCGTATGTACCAAAGACGTATGCACATACATAAAGAATGGCGTATGTACCAAAGATGTATGTACCAGTTAGATAAGAATTTCATAGTATGTATGAGTTAGTAGTGGCAATGAAGAAAGGAAGGACAGCTACGAAAGCAGGTCACTCGTGTGTGAAAATCTCTCCCATAACATCACTAAGACTTTGAAAGTCTCTCCCATAACATCACTAAGACTTTGAAAGGAGATGGGAAAAACCCAAAAGGAGAAAGCCCAAAAATCTTCGAAGTGAATATTCAATTTAAGCGAAAAATAATTATACAACTAACAAGAAGCCAGTAGGTTAGAAAGGATGGTCTATATTTGAAATGTACTAAATAAATGCATATAATATAAATCAAAGATTGCATAATTAGAAGTGAAACAAAACTCTAATGCGCCGGAAATTTAGACTTAAAATGGAGGGGTGCGCCAGGTCCAAGCTGTAGTGCAAAGCTTGGCGACGCTCGAAGGCCCCAGTAGCAAGCTACTATAGTGGGCCCTCCCCCTTGAAAAATTAATTTAATATCATGTGGGCCGATGGCCCACGTATCAGATATTAAACTGATAAGAACAGATACTACACTTGATCTTAGCCAAAAGGCCGAGAAAGGTATGCTCTGAAACGAAATCCACCGGCCCTTTTATAGCCACCGAGTCCTTCCATATTCTGGAACTTACCGATGTGGGACAAACATAAAACCCGCTCGAACCACTGCTTTTCTTTTTTCTCCTTTCCCTCGCCAAGTATCGAACCCTTGCATTCTTCTTTTTTCTGCAGTTGATTTTAAGTAATTAATGTATATGTATTATTTTTTTAAAAATTATTATAATTTTTTTAGTTAGGTAATTCCTCTATTATCGAAGTAATAATTTAATCATAAAAAATTGACCTATAACGATTTAGTAAATATATTTTTATATTTGTATATACTTCTTAAACTTTAACATATAATAATTTAAGCCATATATTTATATAATAATTTAAACCATATATTTTCAAATTTATTTTGTGATTTCTAAACCTATTAGGTCCCTACTTAATTTGTTCGTAATTTTGTTTAAAATTATAAATTTGATAGTCTAAATCTTTTAACAAGAAGATCAGATATTTGAATCTCTCCCCTCACATATTATTAAACTATAAAAAATGAAAATAGCTGGAGTGGACAAACGGGAAACACAAAACTATTATTTTAACATTAAAAAAAATTAGTTAAAATAAAAAAATTCAAGTTTAAGTATTAAAAAAAAATTTAACTAATTTATTAAACAAATTTGAACTTTGCATTTATAAGAACCTTAAACTTGGGTATGTGAAATTTAAGATTGACAATTACAGACCTAATGACTCAAAATTGAAATTTTTAGTTGAATAATTTTTATTTAACAAAAAAAAAATAATTCATGCTCCAGGTAACTTTTCACCAAATCACTGAAAACACGACCATAATCCAGAGTTAAAACTCAAAGCTTCTTGAAATTTCTAGAACTCGGACCAAACTTGTAACTTAACTTTAAAAAAAAAAAATCCATTCAGATTCTTAATGCTCCTGGTAACTTTTCACAAAATCAATAAAAACTCGATCGTAATCGAGAGTTAAAACTCAAAGCTTCTTGAAATGTCTAGAATCGATTCCCATAAATTTAAGATCCAAAGACAGTTGATCGAGATAGAATGATAGGAGTTTCGGTAGCAACAAACTAAACAAAGAAAGCGACTATCAGCTACTTTTTATATATAATGTTCATCTTCTGATATAGTTGTCACTAAAAATGCAGGTCACGTGAAGGCTGAAACGTTTATTGTATGTATATTATACATCAGGATTTTAGGAATTCAGGAACTAATATTTCATCATTTCTGGCTTATCTTACCGGAAGTTAGCCGCAATTGTCAAGATTGAATCAACATAATGAGGTTGATGTCCCTCCTCCTTCAGCAGATCAATATTTGTGGACACAGCAAACGACTTGGCTGAAATAGCGAAAGAACAGTTGCTGAATTCATCCTGGACATGAAGATATGTACTTCTAAAAAATTTCATCATCTTTGGATAAGATGAAACGAATATTATGAGATACCACATCGGTTGGGGAAGAGAACGAATGGGTGTAGAAACCTCTCCCTAGCAAACGCGTTTTTAAAAACCTTGAGAGGAAGCCCGACAGGAAAAGTCGGGAGAGGACAATATCTACTAGCGGTGAGCTTAGGCTGTTACAAATGGTATCAGAGTCAGACACCGGGTGATGTGTTAGCAAGGAGGCTAAGCCACAAAGAAGGGTGGATTGGGGGGTCCCACATTGATTAGAGGAAGGAATGAGTGCCAGTAAGGACGTTGGGCCCCGAAGGGTGGTGGATTGTGAGATCCTACGTTAGTTAGGGAAGAGAACGAAACATTTTTTATAAGGGTGTGGAAATCTCTCCCCAGCAGACGCTTTTAAAAACATTGAGGGGTAAACCCGAAAGGAAAAGTCCAAAGAGGACAATATCGAATAGCAGTGGGCTGTTACAAATATTATATAATGCAGCACATCGGTTGTAGTGAAAATGGATTGAATGCTACATACCTCACGCCAACAAGAGGTATACTAAAGTGATCTTGAATATTCAGCTGCAGCACTGAAGGCAGAAACAAGGGCAGCCATCCCACCAACCTGTGACCAACTTCTAGTCCTTGTAGCAATTGCTGCTCCTGCCACGGCGCCCGCAATCAAACCGTTCAACTGTCACACGAAAAAAAGAGAGGTAAAGATTATTTCCTAAAGTTGCTGTAAACATAGTCCAGGAATAGTTGGTATTTCTGGCTTCATGATCATTCAAGCAATCATAGAGACTATGAGGAAATATGAATGAATTCAAGATAAAAGTAAGAATTCAATAAATTCCCGAGAAACATTGCATAACCCAATGGTTGTAAGCTAAGCAAGAGGCCTAGGATATTAGACATGCAACAGCTAAGAACCATTTCCATTGTTTATCAAGAAACCAAGCTTATGTTGAGAGAAAATGAAATATATAAGAGGGCCAAACAAAAACACGGACCAATAAAAGACGGGCCTACACGAGGGTCGACCGACCAGAAACTAACCTACGACAAAGAATTCAATCCAAAAGATTATGGCCCAACAAATAGTTTCATGTCTATGGACACAAATATCCACAACGAGACATAATTTAGCAAGAGACCAAACCTCCCGATAGCTAAAGATATGGGAAACCCTTCCAGTATGATATGGCGAGTCTCAATATATAAAGCAGCAGTTCATTCTCAAGCAACTACAAGTCTACACATATAACGGCTCCAAGCCCACGCTAGCCGATATTGTCCTTTTTGGGTTTTCCCTTTTAGGCTTTCCCTCAAGGTTTTTAAAACGCATCTGCTAAGAAGAGGTTTCCAGCCCTTATAAAGAATGTTTCGTTATCCTCCCCATCCGATGTGGGATCTCACAATACAAATGGTTGTCAAACTCCAAATACAATTATGAGGTTTCATATACCAATCGATAACACTAACAATCCCAAGTAAGAAGCTCAGTTCTTTCTCCTGCCAACACTTGCAACAGAACTCTATGAACGCAGATCACATACAATTGCGGGATTTTTGCATCAACTTCTTAAACACGCGTTTCATTGACCTTTAAATCTTTCTATCCAACACGATTGTTCCTCTATGGTTCAAAAGAATTAGTTTATATAGTTAAAAACATTTTCCAAAATGAGACCATCCAAACCCTTGAAAGAATAAGTGTCATGAACACTTCTGAATGCCTTCATAATTCCACTCACCTTTTTCCCCCAACAAAAGTTCTTGAACTATCCCTGCTCAAGCCAGACAATCTCCATTCAACAATCTAGTTTAAATTGAAGGGAGTATTTCGAAAGTAATTAGAAAAATGAGGCTCATACCTTAGAATATATATTAATTGGTAAACTGTAAGTCCTATCCTAAGATACACAACACATACAATAGAATGAGCCTTTCTAATGGTGAGCATAATGATTCTACCACATCCTTTTACGTCCATCACCAGAAATCTCGTATTTTCTCGAGGTATTATTCGCTCAAAAAGAGCAGACGGTTACTGAATTACTCATCCAATGCACAATGAATGAAGGGAGGTCAACATTATAGGGATTCAACTAAGCAACCTTTATAACGGATCATATTCAAACAAAGGAGAAAGGTGAAATTGAATCATTTCATGAATTCGACTAACCCAATCATTCTTCCTTCTATATCTTTGAATCCCACAGTGAGTCAGAGTAAAAACTCCAGCAACAAGTCCTAAAACCCAGAATCTTTAGCTACATTTCCGCTCAGAACAAAACTAAACAAAAAAAATCAGCCACAAACACAGCTCAACAATCTATAGAGGCCAGAAGGTTCAAAAATTAACCATTACCACATTGAAATCCGTATTTTCCAACAGACTTTGCCTGCAAAATAGAAAATAAACACACGATTCAGATCGGAAAAACGCCTCAATCAAAAAGAAAGAAATCAAAGCAAAATAGCAAGTATTATTCGATAGATACCACGAAAGCAGCATGGTCGACGCCACTCAGGCCTGTACGAGACACAACGCGAATTAAACATTAAAAGAATCAAAGATAGGATATGTTTTACGAAATTTGAGCTTAAGATTACCATTTTTACGAGAATTGTACGGACCCATACACAAACCCCACAAAGCGCCGGCCTGAAGGATGAACACCGAAAAGGGATTCAGAATTTCAGAGGAGAAAGAATAGAAAACGAACCGTAGTTTGAGAAGTTGTTTGTAGAGTTTACCGTTCCGACGCGAATGGTGGATTCGACGGCGAGGGATGAACATGGAACGACGCCGTTCAGTTCGTCTTCCATCTTTCATTTCTCAATTTCCTTCGCGAGTCATATGTGGAGTTTAGGTTTTTTTTTTCTTTTTTTTTTAATCATTTTTTTATTTATTAATATCTTATTATTGAAACTAAAATAAAAAAAAGTTTTTTTTTTTTTTTTTTAATTTCATAGATTATAAAAATTGATATGATATTTATTACCTACTATAACCTGGTTGAAGTCATGCATTAACGTACAATCCAATTTTTCTTCTTTTGAAATAGTATTAGGGCTCCGTAAAAGAGTTTTTGCTAGACAGATAAATCCGATAAATCCTGTGGCCTATAATTCAGTCACTTGTTTCATTAGTTCAGTCAACTTTGATAGAGTTATTCGATATTCATATTTTATGAGAGGTACGACTATACTGGTAGAAGCTCAATTTCATGATCGATCCCGCAAGAACGTCTTTAAGCGTGTGAATTCAATTTCTTTCATTTCTTTTTACCACTAGATTTTTTTAAAAATAATTTTGATATTAACATATTTAAATTTATGATTATACAAAAATCATTAAATAAAAGTATCCATGTATTGGGGTAAATGAGAGAAACAACAATGGGTTATTTTTACAATTCATAATTAATAGGCTATTTTTGTAAATTTTGAATTAAAAGAGGTTATTTTTGTCTAAAAAAGACTTTACTCCTCCGAGCCTTAAAACAGCAACTCAAAACCCTAAAATCAGCGCCGATTGTTGCGTAACATTTCTACAGGAAATTTGGGCAACGAGTTGCAGAGAAGAAGCAAAAATGAGCCGTGGAGCAGCAGCATCCGGTGGCCCCAAGGGCAAGAAGAAGGGTTCGACCTTTGTCATCGATTGTGCGAAGCCAGTTGAGGACAAGATCATGGACATCGCTTCTTTAGAGAAGTTCCTTCTCGAGAGGATCAAGGTTGGCGGCAAAGCTGGGGCACTTGGTGACTCGGTTACCGTCACTCGCGACAAGAACAAGATCACCGTTAACTCCGATAGCAACTTCTCCAAGAGGTATTCACTGATTTGTAGTTATTTGTCATAGTTCGTTCTGGATTTGGTTTTGGATTTGTGATAATGAATACGGTTCTGGAGGAGTCATGTTCATGTACTTGTTCGTTTGTTCGGGAGTAAGCATTGTAGTTATCTGCTAGCTGACGCGTTATTACCGAGAATGGATGCGACGTGCGGGTTGTTCTTTGTTTTCTGTGATTTTGTGTTCTTGTTGCCTATTTTATTGGGTTGTGGGGTTGATGAGCAATAGTGGAATTCATTGCTCGAACAGATCTCGAGATTTCAGCCACGATTAAGTGTAAACAGGAAAGTTCTTCAAAAAGTACTCATTATCTCATAATAGTTTTTCCTCGTCGTGCCATTGATTATGAATTTTTGTTTCGAGTGCATTTTGATTTCCAGGTCAGTTCTTAAATCTACAAGCTCTAGGTGTAGTTCTTCCGAGTTGTTGGGTGGATTAACACTAGGTCTTTCCTTTGGAATACATCTCTAAATCTCTGATCTAGTGCAAGAAAGGGAATCATTAAAGAGATGCTACTTCAAATATCCATTCTCCTTTTTATGGATAACTTAGAATGTACCATACAATCCATTAGTTGCAATATGATTGTTTTGTTGGAAATTACGAATTAGACCTTTAAACTCCCAATAAACTTTGCTAATTGTTCTCTCTTTTGAATCCCAGGTATCTTAAATACTTGACTAAGAAGTATTTGAAGAAACACAATGTTAGAGATTGGCTTCGGGTTATCGCTTCAAACAAGGACCGCAACGTCTATGAATTAAGATACTTCAACATTGCTGAGAATGAGGGCGAGGAAGAGGATTGAGGTTCAAGGCCTATGTTTTGGAAGCATCGTTTGTAGTAGGAATTAAGCTTGTTGAAATTATATTTCCATACTTTGTCTTGAAGCTTTCCATATAGATCAGCAAGGATTCTTTTGGGTTATGAGATTATGCAACTCTTGTTTACTGCTGAAGTTTTATCTATAAATTTTGTTCACGAAGCTCCCCTTCTTTTGGTTGGTTGTTTTGATGATACTTTTAATAATAGTTGTCTGAGAGTACTGACCTAAGGAGTTTTGGGTCCAAATGAACAATGTCTAACTTTTAACATGTGGTGCGAGTTGAAGCTAACAGGGTTTTTCGTTCGCCAAATAAGTAAATTTAGTGTGTAATTAGAGATGTCCATGGGGTTGGGTGCGATCTCTTTATCTCTGCTCGCTTCATTTTTTGGCTTTTTGAAATATTTCATTTATTTTTATGTGGTTTGAGGTCATGATTCTTGAAAAATATCATGACATTTTATTATTTAGTGCATCTCTTGACCATTGGTGCCAGTAGCTCGGTGGGACGCTTTTGTATGTTGGTAGCTCATGGGACACATTTGTTTGTTGGTGTATCTCTTAACTATTTGGTGCCGGTAGCTTAGAGGATAGAGCATCTGTTTCTAAGCTTGACTCCTACCTGCACCCATGGACAGTGCCTGTGCATCACTCGTATGTAGAGCATAAGTACCCTTACCTAGCGTTTGAGCAGTAATGCTCGTGAGACGGGTACCTCAAGCACCCCTCACTTGAGACGACATTCTGACCTTCAGCACCCCTCATCCTTGGATCTATGGTTATGGGAGAAACATGACTTGAAGAAAACCGTCTTAGTCTAGGCTTTCGCTAATATAAGCTTAGAATTGTAATTTAACCTTCAAGTAAATGTAAGATTACAAATCTCCACCAAGCATAGATTTTTTGCATTTGTTCAGCTTTATTCCCATTCCCACTTGGTCAACATATCCATGGTGTAAATAAATTGAAATGAACACATCTCCCAACCACAGAAAGTCAATAAGTTGAATCCCACAACAGAAGTCAATCTACATTTTCATACCAGGTAACAGGCAGGAAAATTATGTTCATGAACAGAAAACAAAGTAGCAGGAAAATGAAGACCTCTCTTGCTCTTTCTTTTTTTCACTCATTGAGGTAGGGGGCAAAATTTAAGACATTCCTTTTATTGGTAGAGCTAGGCGAGGTCTACTCAGCCAGACGAGATGAGGGTCGAGGTAGACATGTAGTTGGTACCAAAAACAACGTTTACAAAGGCAACATAGGGTAATTCAAACGATCACTAAATGACTGCAACATGAGGATATGCCTGCTTATCGACTCTCCCTAAGCAAGGGCGCCCGTGCAAGCGGTGGCTGGAGATGGGTTGGGCTGTTTCTTCGTTGAGTTGTATTTTTTGGTAATGAATCTGCAATAGATCAAGAACTGAATGTATAAATATAATGTTCTAAGAATTAAGGATGCTTTTAGACTTCACCTATAAACCTACGGTGGTTACTTAGTTCAGTATTATAACTGACCAGTTTTGAAAATCCATACTTTCCGTACAGAAATGTACAAAGATGAAGGTGAAACTCGTTAAGTTTTAGAAAGCGACTTTAGTTAGGGTGTGAGATCCCACATCAATTACAGAGGAGAATTAAGGGTGTGAAAACATCTTTCTAGTAGACACGTTTTAAAAACCTCGAGGGGAAGCTCGAAAGGGAAAGTCCAAAAAAGACAATATTCGTTAGTGGTGGGCTTGGACTGTTACAAATGATATATTAGAGCCAGACATCGGTCAATGTGCCAGCGAGGAGGCTGAGCCTCGAAGGAGGGTGGACAAGAGGCGGTGTGCCAGCATGGACGATGGGCACCGAAGAGGGTGGATTGCGAGATCCCACATCAGTTGGGGAGGAGAGAACAAAACATTCTTTATAAGGATGTGGAAACATCTCCCAAGCAGACGCATTTTAAAAACATTGAGGAGAAGCCCAAAAAGGAAAGTCCAAAGAGGACAATATCTGCTAGCGGTGGACTTGGGCTAGGAAAACTGATAGAACTAACTAAATCGAGTCAATTTGATCGGTTTAAACTATCCTTATCAGTTGGTTTGATTTTCCTAAGCATAAAAATTGTAAAGATGGTTAGTCAGTTCGATTTGGTCGGGTTTTTTCTGGTCTGTCTTTAAAAAAGCTGATTTTGACATGGATAGTTTTTCTTAAACCGACCCGAACTCTCACTTAGACTCCTAACTCGAGTTGAGAAAACAATTTCCAGCGAGTATCAGAACAAAAGGCAGAGAAAAATGAGATATATAGATTTTGGCATTACCTGAAGAAGTCCCTCCATAATAACTCAAACATCAGCCAGTTTGTTCCAGTGCCATTGCCACCATCATGCTTCCTGTTAGCAGAAAAGGTTCCACACATAAGAAAATTATCTCAGTGATTAATGTTTGTTTTTGAGAACTTTGATTTGGCAATGTCGCCACAAGAAGATGAAGGCGGTGGGCGTTCATATGCACCTGGAAACGGTTTTGTTAAGTTCATCAAACACCGATCGAGGTGAAATGCAACCCATGGTTAGCCACGGAGAAATTTTGTTTGAAAAGGTAGCACCATATATGCTATTCTGAGCACCGTTGTTCGTCGCCTTCGGTGGTTGAGCTCGACATTCAGCTGCATATTTTTGAAGCCTATGAAGCGCTTCGGTCTCCCCTCCCACTTGAGAAGTATTGGGAGCTAGCCATCCTTCCTACATGATGAAGTTAACAATGTTGATACATTTCAAGAAAAGTAGAGAATATATGAAGAGATATGTGAAGAGTGAAATGTCACAGAGCAAGGTCTGTTGTCATCAAATGATTTATTCTCAGTCATGAACTCATAATCAAGCAAATCAATGTAGCGATCCAAACCCAACACTAACAGATATTGTCTTCTTTGGGTTTTCCCTTTCGGGCTTCCCCTCAAGGTTTTTAAAACGCATCTGTTAGGGAGAAGTTTTCATGTCCTTACAAAGAATGCTTCGTTCTCCTCCCCAACCGATGCGGGATCTCACAATCCACCGCCCTTTGGGCTCAGTGTCCTCGTTGACACTCATTCCCTTCTCCAATCAATGTGGGACACCCCAATCCACCCCCTTTCGAGACCCAGCATCCTTGTTGGCACACTGCCTCATGTCCATCCCCTTCGAGGCTCAACCTCCTACAGGCACATCGTCCGGTGTGTAGCTCTAATACCATCTGTAACAGCCCAAGCCCACCGCTAGCAAATATTGTCCTCTTTGGGCTTTCCTTTTCGAGCTTTCCCTCAAGGTTTTTAAAACGCATCTGCTAGGGAGAGGAGTTTCTACACCCTTATAAAGAATGATTCGTTCTTCTCCCCAACCAACATGGGATCTCACAAAAGACAATGCTAAACTTCTAGAAATCAGTTCAACTCATGAAAACTTAAAATGGTTTCAAGAACAACAATCTCGAACATGAATTTACAGCACGAAAAAACCCAAACAATCATAGTCCAAAACAACAAAGGGCATGCCAAAACTATTACATTTTCAAGAGAGCACCATTTCCACTTGGTTCAACTAGCAGATTTTGAGTTAATCTTGCGCACATACTATCATTGTTAGTCCTCTTTGCTACGACGATAACAACAGGATGAGTATCAATGTCATGTCCAGAACTAGTAGAAAGCTTAAAGCATTTTCTTGAAATATGATAGCCCAATTGAACACACCAGCAGAACAACCCTCCAATTCAGTCAAAGAAGCAAAAACAGAACGAAATTCAAGTAGAAATGAAGGATAAGAACAAACCTTAGACATAGCCACAGGTTGGTTGAGACCCAATTCAGACAAAGAAGGGATACCCCCAGGCTCCACATCACCACGAGAAGGCAAACCCTTCATCTTATCCAAGGCTTCAATCGTCTTCCTCACACTCAGCCCTTGAACTCTCTCTCTAAACGCCCCATGGCTCGACGGCATATCTTCCATTTTAAACGGCAAATCATCGATATGATACAAAGTGCTTCCCCAAAAGTACTTCACCTCAACATTCTCTTCCTTCATCGCACTCTCAATCCTCTCCTCAGTCTCCATTTCATCGTGAGAAACCTCGTAATGAGCATAAATTCCATCAGCACCAATTTCCTTAGCCAATTCAGCAAGAACAGTTTCAGGTTTTCCAATTCGAACAACGAGATTCGAACCCCTAGCTTGGAGATTCTTCCGCAAATCCGAGACGGATTCAATCACAAATGTGGCTCGGTACGGTCCAGTTTTATCGAATCCAGACGAAGACTTACCGTAATCTCTCGGATCGAAACAGTAAACAGGCAAAACGGAGATGGAATCATTATTAGCTGAATTTAGGCATTCATTATCGTGAATCCGTAGATCGTTACGGAACCAAACGATGGTAGCTCGACGCATCCCGGCGCCATTGGAGGGTTCTGAAGGGCGGCGGGGGCCTAAAGAGAGAGGGATTTGAAGAGGGTTTGCAGAAACGGTGGATTTGAGGGAAATTTTAGGGGGACAGAGCGAAGAACAGGAAATTGGTAAGCGAGAAAGAGAAGCAGCTTGAGTGGGGACATTATCCTTGGTTGGCTGCCGAGAAAACAACCCAGAAAATCTGGGTTGGACAAGAAAATTGGAGGGAATGACGGTTGAGAGAGATAAAGTGAGAGAAGCGACGGCGAACGGCGGCGAGTGAACTGGAACGGGCGGAGACTGGTCCTCCGATGAGATGGATTCAGGATTTTCGAGGATTTGGGAGTTGGGATCCATGATTGAAGCTTCAAAGATGGGGAAGAAGATAAGATTTTGAGGTGCTCTCAACAAATTTGCGCCGCGGGCTGCGTATGAGAGGATTTGGGGGGGTGGGTTGGTGGAGTCAGTGAGGATTAGAGAGCGGAAAAGTGTATGTCCAGAAAGTACAGATATATTTATTTATTTTATTATCTAAATATTTGGTCTAAACTGTACGGCGGCGCCTACCGTTGGTGAAGATTGGCTGTCGCATCAATATTTAGACTATAATATTTTTTATTTTAGTTTTTTAGAATTTTAGATTATAATGTTCTTTTTGTTGTTTTTTTTTCTAATTTATAAATTTGGGTCAATTTTCTTTTTGTATAATAGAAACAAAATTAGAGTATTTAATGATGTATTTAGTTTCGA